CGGCGTCGTGCGCCGCTCGCGCCTCGTCCGCCGCCTCGGCCTTGGCCCGCGCCTCGGGGTCGAGCGCCGCGAGCGCCTCGGCCTGCGCCGCCTTGGCCTCGGCGGCGCGCTCCGCGAAGAAGGCCGCGTCGCGGTCGCCGCCGCCGGCGGCGTCCGGGCGCGGCTTGCGACACACGACGCACCGGGCCTTTTGCGCGCCGTTGGTCTTGCCGCAGCTACACTTCCACACGCCCATGGGCCGCGGCCGGGCTGCCCGCGCGCGGCGGCCACAACCTTGATTGGGCTCGCACAGAGGCGAGGCTGCCCGCGCGCCGCGGCGATGGTGCCGGCAACGTGAGGCACATCTTCCGAGGGGCAGCCCGTCATGGCCGTCAAGACGCCGTCGCCGATGCATCCGGCGACGCCCAAGGACCTGGAGCTGCAGGTGCGCGAGCGGTCCGGGAGCGACGGGTCCGTGGCGAGCGTGTCGAGCGCGGCGCCGGCCGTGGGCAGGGACGAGGCGCTGCTGCGGGCGCGCAAGGCGGCCCTCGAGGGCGAGCTCGCGGCCATCGACGAGACGCTCCAGGTCGCGCGCGAGGGGTCTCTGGACGACTACTTCGCGACGCCCGCGTCGACGCTGCTCAGGGAGCGGCTGCCCTGGCTCGTCGGGCTGCTGCTGCTGCAGTCGTGCGCGGCGCTGGTCATGGACACGTTCGAGAGCCTGCTGGACCGCCACCTCGTCATCGCTTTCTTCGTGCCCATGATCGTCGGCACGGGCGGCAACGCGGGCAACCAGCCGGGCGTCATGACGACGCGCGCGCTGAGCCAGGGCGGCGTCACGCGGGACAAGGTCCGGCGGCTGCTGCGCCGCGAGGCCGCGCTCGCGGTGGTCACGGGCGCCGTCCTCGCGGGCCTCGCCTTCGCGCGCGTCCTGGCCCAGTACCCGGACGAGCGCGCCGAGGCCCTCGCCATCGCGCTCGCGGTCTTCGGCATGGTCCAGCTCGCGATCGTGATCGGCGTGGGCTTCTCCGTGGGCATCGACGCCATGGGCAGCGACGCGGCGAACGGCGCCGCGCCCCTGCTCACGACCGTCGCGGACCTCCTGGGCATCTCGCTCCTCTGCGGCATCTCCGCGCTCCTCCTCCACAGCTAACGTTGTCGCGTCATTGCCATTCACATTGTGGGCAACATGGGCTTGCCTTGCGCGCGATCTTGTGGCCTCACGATGGCTCTTCGTCTCGCGATCGTCGCCTCGCTCTTCTCGTTCGCCAATGGTTTGGCCCGCGCGCCGACGAAGAACCTCGCGCAGATCTTCAAGGAGACCATCGCGAACCACGAGGACGGCGCCTTTGCGGCGACGCCCATTATGAAGCGGCGCGTCGCCGTCGTCGGCGCCGGCGGCAAGGCCGGGTCCATGGTCTTCGGCGCCGTGCAGCGCGCGGCCCAGACCTTCGACGCGGGCCTCGCCGCGCCGCGCGCGCTCTGCGGCGCGGCCCGCGGCAGCCGCGCGCTCAACTCCGTCTTGGGCAGCTCGTTCGTGCTCGCGTTCGCCGGCGAGGATCTGGTGAAGCTGACGGATTTCCGCGACGACGCGAAGCTCGAGAAGAACCTCGAGGGCTGCGCGACGGTCGTGGCGCCCGCGCGGCTGCGGCCCGCGGGGGCCGTGACGGGCACGGAGTGGACGTGGGACCTCGACTGCGACGTCGACGAGTCCGTCGCCGACGGCGACGACGCGGTCTTCGGGCGCGTGGCGCGCGTCGCCGCGAAGCTCGGCGCCCACGTCATCGCCGTCGCGTCGCCGGCGTCCGCGGGGGGCGTCGAGGCGGCGCTCGCGGCCGCGGGCGCGGCGCACACGGTCCTCGTCGTCGGCGAGGTCGCGCTGACCAAGGGCTGGTACCTCGACAAGGGCGTCCAGCAGGTCATCTCCTGCGCGCCGGGCGTGGCGCGGGACCCCGGCTGCGTCCAGGCCGAGGACCTCGGCGCCGTCGTCGCGTACGCGGCGACGTGCCTCGACCCGGCGAGTTCGCGCGTCCTGACGCTGTCCGCCTCGAGCGAGGGCTACGACGACCAGGAGGCCCTCGCCCGGGCCATCAACGCGGGCCTCCGGGGCGTCGCGCCGACGCGGCCCTAAGGAGCTTACCCGCCGGCGAGCGCGTCCCAGACGTAGTTCGGGTTGCCGACGACGACGACGCAGGCGAGCATGGACCACACCGTCGCCGCGGCGAGCATGATGCCGAGGATGCCGAGGGCGTGGCTCGAGATGCAGTAGGCCGCGGGCTTGGGGAACGCGGACGTCGCGTCCGGGTCCACGCGGCCGTGCGCGTTCCAGAGCCGCGCGTAGATGGCCGTCGCCGCGATGAAGAAGGCGACGACGCCGAAGCGGATGGCGAAGGTCGCGCGCTGCTGCCAGCGCCACTCCGTCGTCCAGCCCACGCGGTCGACGGACTCGAGGAGGAGCACGACAAGGCCGACGGCGAACGTCGCGTTCGCGGCGATGGCGCAGCGGATCTGGGCCACGTTCTTGTGCTTCATGGCCTCGACGAAGAGCATGTTGCCGCCGATGTAGGCCGCGTCGATGGCGAAATCGAGGACGAGGCCCAGCGTCGTCGGGTTGGCGCCGAGCGTGCCGCCCTCCGCGGCGTACGCGATTAGCTCCGCGACCGTGAAGAGCGCGGCGCAGGCGAAGGGCCCGTCCGTCGTGTAGATCCACTGGACCCGCGCCTCGTGCTCGACCTCGAGCTCGTCGTGGCGCACGGGGCCGCCCTGGCCGACGGCCGCGTGGACCCAGCGGCCGCTGAGCACGCACGGGATCGCCGCGAGGAGCAGGAGCCAGTAGACGGGGTTGTAGCCGACGCAGGCGAAGGTCACCTGCTCGGCCATGGGCGCCTCGGCGAAGGACGACGGGTAGCAGTAGAGGATGACCATGACGTGCGACTCCATGGCCGCCCACTGGAGGTCCGCGTACAGCGGGCCGCAGAGGGGCGACCCGCGGTACTCGCCCCGCAGGTGGGGCAGGTCCACGAGGGGCTCGCCGTCCTCGGGCTTCGGCCCGCCGCCGAGCAGGTCGTAGCGGTCGCCGTCGTCGTCGTCGTCGTCGGAGCTGTCCATCGCGCCGGGGGGGGCTGCTCGTCGGGCCTGGCCTGGAGTTGCTTGGGCCTCAAGTAAAAATCAGGTATCCCCCCTCGAGGCCTCAGCGCTCGACGAGTCTGGGCTGCTCGCGTGCCCGGCCCCCCCGCGCCGGGGACCGCGTCCTCGTCGGCCATGGGGGAGCACCACGGGTCGACGTCCGGGTGGAGCAGCCCGGGCCTCGACAACTTGGATCCCGAGATGTTGGACAGCTCCGCCGCCTTCGGCACGCCGAGCCACCTGGCCTACAGCAGCTTCAGCCACATCGGGGACGTGCAGAACCTGAGCTTCGCCGTGGGTCTGCGGGAGGACGAGGAGCACGCCGAGCTCTACGTGCAGAAGATCCTGCCCATGTGCAAGATCGTGCCCGGGAAGCCCCTGGAGAAGCGGAAGCGGACGACGGCGACCGTCGACGTCGACGTCGACGCGATCGAGGTGCCCGAGATCATCGAGATGCGCAACCGCCTCAAGGAGATCCTGCGGGGCTGCGACAAGATGGAGCTCGAGGAGCACCAGGTCGGCGAGGACCTGAACGCGGCCGCGGAGAAGCTCGAGATGGTCGAGAAGCGGTCGTCGCAGATCGACGAGCAGCTCGACGGCCTCAACGAGCAGCTCACGGAGGAGCGGAACCGGTCCATGGTCGCGTCCATGGACGCGGAGCAGACCAAGGCCACGCACAAGGAGCTCTGCGAGCAGGTGTCGATCTCCGAGGTCGCGATCACGAAGCTCGAGTCGGAGCTCGCGGACAAGCGGCGCCAGCTCCAGGCCCTCGAGGAGTGCAGCGACCTCGAGATGGTCTTCGGGCGGCGCCACGCGCCCCAGAAGGAGGACCTGGACCTGTCGCGCGAGGTCGCGAAGCTCGAGGACTGGAAGCTCGCGCCCGCCAAGGCGGAGAAGCGGCGCCTCAAGTCGGCCCAGGCCGCGAAGCGGGGCGGCGCGCAGCACGTCGACGACGTCGCCGCGTCCAAGCTCGCCGACTTCTCCTACGCCGAGCGCATGGGCCAGTTCAAGCGCAAGCTCCGCGTCAACGACGGCCAGTGGAAGACGGGCGCGGAGCTCGCCAAGGCCAAGTAGGCGGCGCGCCCCCGTAGCTGCCTAGTGGGGGTCCGTCGGGCTTCGGGGGCCCGTCGCTCGTTCGCGCGTCGCGATCGCCGCAACATTTTTATTGAAGGCAACTTTACCACCGCGTCCGCGGGCTGCCTTCCCGCCGACCATCGAATCGGTCGGCCTCGACGGGGCTGCTGCCGTCGAGTCGTGCGACCGTCGGCTCGAGCCTGCTCACCCCCATCAAGAAGCCGTCGCGGGGATTTCCCATCGCACGGCGGCAGCGATGCCTTCTCGGAGCCAGTTCTCGAAGGGCGACCGCGTCGAGGCGCGGTTCCGCGGCCGCGAGAAGTACGCCCCGGGCAGGATCGAGGCGACCCGGTTTACCGGGCTGCACCACCTCTACGACGTGACGTACGACGACGGCGTGCGGGAGAACCGCGTCGGCGAGGACCTCATCCGCGCGCCGACCGTCGCCGCGCCGGCCGCCGCGCCGCGCCAGGAACGCGCCTACCTCGGCGACGCCGCGGTCTACACGCTCGACGACGGCATCGCGCGCTGGAGCGTCGGGCGCCTGAAGCACTTCCTCGACGAGGCCAAGGTCCCGCACGGCGACGTCGTCGACAAGGCGGAGCTCGTCGCGCGCGCGCGGCGCGTCGTCGAGGACCGGCCGGATCTCGCGCTCGAGCCCATGCTGGCGGCGCTCGAGAGCGACACGAAGGAGCGGGAGGCGAAGATCCGGGCGCGCGTCGCGGAGGAGAAGTGGCAGCACCTGGAGGACGAGTACAACGCGCTGAAGGCGCGCGTCGAGGAGGCATTCGAGGCCAAGCTCGAGGCCGAGGTCCGCGCGCTCCGCGAGGAGGCGGAGGGCAAGGCGCGGAAGACGCGCGAGCGCGTCGCGCGCGAGGTCGCGGCGCGGCAGGTGCGGGAGAAGTTCGAGAAGATCGCGCGGGAGAAGGCCGAGCGGGAGAGGGCCGAGCGGGAGAAGGCCGCCGCGCCGCCGCGAGCGGCGGGGGGGCTCCCGCCCGACTGGGAGGAGCAGCGCGACGCGAGCGGCCGGCCCTACTACGTCAACCACCGCACGCGGACGACGTCCTGGACGCGGCCCGGCGCCGCGCCGCCGGCGCCGCCGCGACCCGCGGCGGCGCCGCTGCCGCCCGGCTGGGAGGAGCAGCGCGACGCGACCGGCCGGCCCTACTACGTCAACCACCGCACGAAGACGACGTCGTGGACGCGGCCCGCGCCGGCCCCCGCGAGCCCGGCGGCGGCGCCGCTGCCCCCGGGCTGGGAGGAGCAGCGCGACGCGAGCGGCCGGCCCTACTACGTCAACCACCGAACGCAGACGACGTCCTGGACGCACCCGGCCGCGGCGATGCGGTGGAAGGGGGGCGGCCCGTAGCGTCTTTTCGACGGTGCTTGATGCTCGCTTTTAGTGGAGTGGGTGGTAAGCGAGAGGGGGCCGTGGTCGCGTCGTCGAATTGCGTTCTGCGCGCTTCAGCATGGAGGCATGTTGAAATTAAAAAAAATCTCAGGGCACGGCATGAGCTAGGTTTAGCATCATGATCGCCATAGCATGAGCTAGGTAAGGCACTGCTACCCGCACCCGATCGCGACTCAAGACCATGCCAGGGGCCGTCGACAAGTTCACCGGTGACACGTTCAATCACATGCTCGGCTTTGTCCAGCTGCTGGAGGTCCTTCCTTTGCAGAGCGTGTCGACGCAGTGGAATGGCGAGATCGCTGCGGCAAGCGCGCGCATTTGCGCCGACCCGGCTTCCTCGGTCGTCGCGGTCGCGACGTCGGTCCCAGGGCGGAGCCTCAGCCGATTGGTAGCGCGGCAAGACGCTTTCGACGCTGCGTTTCCGCACGCGCGGTGGACGCCGGACGCCTTCAAATCGAAGCGGCGGGTCGCGCTCGTCGGGAGCGGCCAGTGGTATTGGCGGTCGAACGCGCGCGACGTGTTCGTGTCGTGCCCGCCGACAGCCCTGGTGTGCACCAAAGGGTTGAGTTCGAAGGGCACGCCCGAGCTCCGGGGCGACTGCGTGCTGCGGGGCGTCGTCTTGTCCGGGAGCTTGAAGGTCGCGTCCGGCGCGCGGGTCGTGCTGCTCAAGTGCGTGATCAAATACAGCGACGGGATCAGCGTCGCGGCGCGCGGATCGCTCATCATGTCCGAGTGCACCATGTTCATGTCGGAGCACGCGCCCCGGCAGTGCAAGGTGCTCAAGATCGGCAAGGACGCGAAGCTCGAAGTCGACGGATGCCGATTCGACTGCGGACTCCACACCTGCGTCTATGCCCAGCAGGCCGAGAGCATCAAGGTCGCGCGGACGACCATCTCCGACGCGCGCGAGGCCTTTTCCATTCTCGAAAAGATCAGGAACCTCGAGCTCTCGGACCTCGTCGTCGAAAAGTCCAACATCGCGCTGTGGATTGTTCGCTGTGGGCCGTCGACGCACAGGATCGACGGCCTCGACGTCCGCGGATGCTGCAAAGGCTTCTTCATGAACGGTTCCGGCGACCCCCTCGACCTCGAGATCACGCGCTTCAACTACTCGCGCATGACCAAGGCCGAAGCGAGCCGGGACTTTGTCCTACAACTCGATATGAAGGAGGTGCAGAAAGAATTCCACGCCATTCATGGCGCCAACGTGCCGATCAGGGTCCGAACGAACGCGTCGCGGGGAGCGGCTGACCGGTCGATCATCGTAGGTCAAGGTCGTGCTCGACCCATCGGCGGACGTCGCGCCCGTGGGCATGACGTGCGAACTCGGCAGCTGCATCCGCATCCACGACTCCGACGGCGATATGATCGCCGAATGCGTCTCCTAGGGCGAGTTAGAGCTCCCGCCGCTTCCGCCGGCGGTGCTTCTTGGGGATCGCGCTGTGGCGCATGTGGGGCGGGCGGCCGTCGGGCTGGACGTCCGTGCCGTAGGGCATGAGGTCCGGCGCGAGCGTCACGTTCAGCGGGCAGTTGGCGTTGGACCGCGGCTTCGCCGGGTCGAACGCGGCGCGGTCCTCGACGGCGTACTGGAGGAACCGCGCCGTGAAGTCGACGTAGAGGTCGAAGCCGTCGGCGCAGTCGCCGCGGCGCGGCTTGACGCGGTACGTCGTCTCCTCGAGGTCCGGCGCGTCGCCCCGCCGCGGCGCGGGCCGCGCGAGCGCGAAGACCTTCTCCTCGCCCGGCGCCTGGGCGGGATTCAACGTCGCTTCGACGCGAGCGTTCCGCGCGCGCGCGTTCAAAAAACAAAGCGTCCACGCTTCGAGACCGTTCCAAGGGATGGTCGCTCGTCCAAAAGTCAGCCGAACCGAGTGGAAAACGACCGAGCTCGGAGCCTTTGAAGTCGGGAACGTCGCGCCCTTTTCCCGCCCCGCCCGGCGCGAGGAACTTGCGCGCGAGCGAGTCCGCGCCGTCGAAGGCCGCGTCCTCCTCCTCCGGCGCGCAGGCGCGGCCCACGGCGCCGTCGATGACGAGGATCTCCACGGGCCCCCGGGCGCCGTTGCGGAACGCGTGCTGCACGGCGGCCGCCTCGTACGTGTCCGTCGGCGCGTGATGCACGCGAAAGTTCCGCGGGCAGGCCTCCGTCACGGAGTCGAAGGCGCAGAGCGCGTCGGCGACGGCCGCCGCCGACGCGATCGTCGAGTCGTCGCCGTCGCCGTCGGCGCCGTCGACGAGGTCCCAGAGCGCGTCCGCGACGAGCGCGCCGTGGCGGCCCGCGAGGACCCCGTCGCAGAGCATGGCCTGGGACGCGTCCTCGGCGTGGGTCGCCAGCCGGCGGTTCGCGCAGTGGTCGTCGAGCGTCCGCGCCCAGTCCCGGCGCGACGGCGCCGCGCCCTGCGCGACGGCCTCGCGCACGAGCTTGTGGGCGTGGTGGCCGAAGACGTGGCACTCGCTGCAGAGCGCCGCGTACTCGCCGGAGACGTGGTCGCCGACGCGCTGGCGGGCGACCGCGAGGGCCGCGCCGTGGAGGAGCAGGCGCCGAAGCGCCCGACTCATCCCGCTCGACCCCATCGCGATGCCCATCAAGGAGAGGTGCAACGATGGCGCGCTTTAGGACCACTTTTAGGACCCCGTCGGCCCCGCGGCGCGGAGGAAGGCGACGACCTGCTGGGCCGTGCCGACGAAGCTCGCCGCCGAGGCGCCGACGAGGATGCACGCGGACACGGCGAGCTCCCAGGGCTCGCGCTTGTAGTCGTCCGGGCTCCGGTGCGCGGCGACGAGGTCGCAGAGCGCCGGGAAGATGAAGGCCAGCATGGGCGCGAAGATGATGCCCACGAGGTTGATGAGCCGCGTCAGGTCCGACACGAGGACGGCGACGAGGGCCGTGCCCGCGACGAAGAAGAGGCGGAACGCGACCGCGGGGAACCCGCCGTCGGCGCGCGTGATGAACACGGACGCGTCCGGGTCGCCGAGGCGGCTCGAGCCGTAGTCCGCGGCCGCCGAAACCGGCCGCCCGCCCTCGAGCAGCGCCGCCGCCTCCGCGTCCGCGTCGTCGTCGTCGGACTCGTCGGACTCGTCGGGCCCGCCGCCCGACGGCCGCCGCCGCTTCGCGCGCTTCCCATGCGGCGCGCGCGCGCCCGGCCCCACGCCGGCGATGCGCTCGAGGGCGACGATGGCCGGGTAGAACTGGAGCGGGTAGGTGAGGACGACCGCGACGCAGACCAGGACGTTGACGGCGACGGCCGGCGGGCCCGGCTCGTGGTCCAGCACGCTCAGCGTCAGCGGATTCCGCGGCTTGTCGAACGCGTAGCCGCCCAGGAAGGCCGTCACGACGTACACGGCCAGCACCGCGGTCACGGCGGACCGCACGAGCTCGTCCGCGCGCTTCGGCTCCGACAGCGCGTTCGCCATCTGGACGAGCGTACCTGGGCCGGACTCGAATCCGCGACCCGACTTCGACGCGCGCGCACGCGACGGCGTCGACGCGGATCGTCCCGCTCTCCGTGGAGCACTTGATCGAGTCGTCCAAACATCGGCCGAAGCGACTTCGATGTGACCGAGCTCGAGAGGCGCGACGTCGATTCGATGTCCGCGCCGCGTCGTGCTCGGAATGCCCTCGAAGGAGTAGCACAGCGTCGCGAAGGCCGCGACGATGGAGAACTCGGACCGCGGGCCCGGGTCGACGTCGCGCGGGCCGCCGCCGGAGATGCGCGCGACGCAGACGCCCAGCGTCGCGGCCCACGCCGCGAAGAAGAACGCCGTCGCGACCTTGGCGACGTCGCCCAGATCTCGCAAGTGCCGCAGGCAGCACGGCGCGGACACCAGCGGCACGAGGAAGACGACCCACTGGGCGCGGCCCCGCGCGTCGCTCCGGCCCCGGTTCGGCAGCACGTCGCTCAGCAGCTCCGCGGCGAACTCGAGGTAGACGCAGCAGACGCCGAGCTGGAACCCGACGATGGACACCTCGATGCCCCGCCGGCCGACCTCGCCGCCGATGAGCTCGCTGCCGAGGTCCGGGTAGGCGTCGACGCGCACGCCGCGCGACGCGCAGTAGTCCTTGGCCCGGAGCATGGCGTGCATGCACCAGCGCACGGCGCCGCCCATGCAGAGGAAGAGCACGATGGCCTCGACGACGCCGCAGGCGTGCAGCGTCGCCGGCAGGGCGAGGGCCCCGGCGCCGATGGACAGCTTCACGGCCATGAGGAACATCTGCGTGAACGACGCCTTGGGCTCCGCCATCGTCGCGGCGCGGGGCTGCTTGGCGTGTTTTTACGGCGACGGCAATCATCCCACCTTGCACACCCCCCTGGGGGAGGCCCTCTAGCTGTTAACCTCTCCTAGCCTAGCACAGCGTGCCGTCGAGCTCCGCGCCGCCGATCTGTTCGTCATACAATGCTCGCCGCCGTCGCGTGCGCGCTCCTCGCGGCCGGCGCCGAGTCCTTCGCGCTGTCGCCGGTGCGGCGCCTCGCCCTCCCGGCGCTGCGCGCCGCGCCTTCGCCGTCGGAGCCCGACGCGCGCGTCAAATTCCTCGAGGAGGCCGTGGGCGTCCTCCTGCGGGAGAACGACGTGCTGCGGCGGCGCGTGGCGAATTTCGAGGCGGGTGCGTTCATCGAGCCCGTGCCGCTCTGGGCCCTCGAGGACTGGGCGGCCGTGGAGGGCGCGGACGACTGCCGCGACCTCGGCAAAGAGCGGCTGACGAACGCGCTGAGCCGCTACAACGAGGCGCACCCGAAGCAGCGGCGGCGCGTCGACGGCGGCCTCGACCAGCTCGCGGCCGAGCTCGCCGCCGTGCTGCCGGCCCTGAAGCAGTCCGCGGCGGCGAAGGCGGCGGACGGCGCGAAGCGGCGGGTTTTGGTCGAGGCCGTCGACACGGGCCTCATCGCCGAGGGGCGCGTCGTCTCGGGCACCGTGGCGCGGACGACGGCGGCGGGCGTCCAGGTCGAGCTGGCGACGCCCTTCGGGACCTACACGGCGCTCCTCCGGCCCGCGGCCGCTACCGGCGTCGAGCCGAACCCGTCGGTCGCGTTCCTCGGCGAGACCTTCCCCGTGGGCGGCGAGATCTGGGCCGAGGTCGACGACGTCGTCATCAACAAGGACTCGAGCGCCGTGCTCCTGAGCACGGCCGCGCTCGAGACGTCGCTCGGCGAGATGACGAGCGACAAGCCCGCCGTCTACGCGCGCGGCGCCGCCCGCATGGAGGCGCAGCCGGCGCCCATGAACAGCAAGGAGCGGAAACGGCGCCAGCTCGAGGAGGTCGACGCCTACCTGAGCGTCATCGACGAGTTCGGCGCGCCCGAGGAGGCGCGATTCTACTAAAAGCGGCGGTCTCGCGGGTCCGCGTCGCGGGCGGTGTCGCGCGGAGGCGTCCCGATGTTTGCGCGGGTCTCGGCGCGCGGCCTATGCGGCGTCGGCGAGTCGGAAGCCGGGCGCGCGCGCGTTCGGCGAGGCGCGCATCAAGGCGCGCGACAGTCGCGGTGCGGCGACGTTGAAGGCTCGTCGACTCGTGTTTAGAGGTTGGCATTTGATTCGATCGCAGCAATCCGGAGAGCACCAGCCGCCGCGTCCGGTCGCCTCCGGTTCTGCGCCATGAAGTTCGGCGCGGACCTGAAGAACAGCATCGTGCCCGAGTGGCAGCACGGCTACATCGCCTACGACGAGCTGAAGCGGCTCATCAAGGAGCTGAGCTCGCTGGAGGGCGGCGCCAAGGAGAGCGCCGAGGAGGACTTCTTCATGATGCTCGAGGACGAGCTCGAGAAGGTGAACCGCTTCTACCTCGAGAAGATCCAGGAGTTCGACGGCGAGCTCAAGGTCCTCGAGGGCCGGCCGCGGTCCGACTCGAACAGCGCGCTCGCGGCCGGCGGCGTGCCGTCCGACCGCATGGTCGCGCTCCACGCGCAGATCGGCCAGCTCCAGGCCTTCGTCTGGCTCAACACGCAGGGCTTCGAGAAGATCATGAAGAAGTACGACAAGTTCATGGGCCTGCGCCACACGCCCGGGGCCAAGAGCCCCGACTTTGAGGCGCGGCTCCGGGGCGAGGTCTTCAAGTCCGAGCCGGGGCAGGAAAAGAGTGATTCAAGTTCGCGTCAACATGAGCGTTCCGCGCGCGCGCGTTCCGGAAAAAGCATCCACGCGTCGAGAGCGCTCCGAGGGATGATCGCTCGTCCCAAAATCAGCCGAAACGAGCGGAAAACGGCCGAGAGAGGAGCCTCTGAAGTTGGGAATGTCGCACCCTTTTGCTGCCCAGGTCCGAGCGCCTCGACGCGTGCCTCGAGAAGTTCAAGGCCACGCGGAGCCAGCTCAGCAGCGACGTCGGCGCCCTGGAGATGAAGCTCATCTCGGGCTCGGCGAACAAGCCCCTGGCCGAGGAGATCTCCGCGCGGCTCGGCGTGCCGCTGTCGCCCGCCAAGGTCCGCCGCTTCAACGACGGCGAGGTCAACATCCAGCTCTGCGACTCCGTGCGCGGCTGCGACGTCTACATCGTCCAGCCGACGTGCCCGCCCGTCAACGACCACCTCGTGGAGCTGCTCCTGCTCATCTCGGCCGCGCGGCGCGCGTCGGCCGCGTCCGTGACCGCCGTCGTGCCCTACTACGGCTACGCGCGCCAGGACCGCAAGGACCGGAGCCGCGTGCCCATCTCCGCGGCGGACGTGGCGCGCATGATGGAGGCCATGGGCGTGGACCGCGTCGTCTGCGTGGACCTGCACTGCGCGCAGATCCAGGGCTTCTTCGGGCCCCGGACGCCCGTGGACAATCTGTTCGCGGCGCCCATCGCGGTGACGTACTTCAACATGAAGGATTTGGTGAAGCCCGTCATCGTGTCGCCGGACGCCGGCGGCGTCGCGCGGGCCAAGCTCTTCATGGAGGGGTTCTCGCGGTTGCCGGACCCGCCGGAGGTGTCGCTCGCGGTGATCCTCAAGCAGCGCGTCGAGGCCCGCGTGGAACCCAAATCTTCAACCCGACTTCAATGTGCGCGCATGCGAATGTTTTGACACGAGCACTTCCGCCGTGCTTCGAGAACTCGCTGAGAGCAATCGATTCGTCCAAAAATCAGCCGAATCGACTTCGATTTGACCGAGCTAGAGAATTCTCAAGTTTGGCCCCGACGTCCCAGCTCACTGGTTGATTTGCACACAGGTCGAGGCCGGCGTCGTGGGCACGATGCACCTCGTGGGCTCCGTCGAGGGCTGCGACTGCATCATCGTCGACGACATGATCGACACGGCGGGCACGCTGACGGCCGCCGCGAACGAGCTGCGGAACTTCGGGGCGAAGCGCGTCTTCGCCTTCGCGACGCACGGCCTCTTCTCGGGGCCCGCCGCGGACCGCATCGAGGCCTGCGTCCTCGAGGAGTGCGTCGTCGCCAACACCGTGCCCCTGAACCCGGCGGTCAAGGAGAAGACGCGCAAGATCCGCCAGGTCAGCGTCGGCAAGCTCGTCGAGTCGGCGATCCGCGGCATCCACTGCGGCACGTCCGTGTCCGCGCTGTTCAACGCGGACCTCGGCGCGGACCTCCTCGCCTGAGATGCCGGCGGCGCGCGGGGCAAGCCCGCGCGGGGGGGGGGGGCGCGCCACCAAGGGGGCGCCCTAAGGCCGCGGTCGCCTTACGGGTCGAGGCGGTGGAGCCGCGCGTAGTCGAACGTGACGGCCCGGGGGTCCGCGCGGCCGTCGCCCGCGCGCCGCCGCGTCCCGTCGAGGCACGGGCCCGAGAAGGAGCTGATGACGTCGGCGAAGGTCGCGCCCTCGACGATGCGGTCCACGGGGATGAACTCGGCCACGGCGACGTCCTCGCAGAGCAGCTCGTCGTAGCCCTGGACGTTGATCCAGACGCCGGCGACGTCCGCGCGCCAGCCCGGCTCGCGGAACGGCGACGCGGCGTCGATCGTGTGGCGCAGGGTCGTGCCTATCGATGGTCCTTCGCGTTCCCGGTCGGGGGCTCTCGAAGCCCGTCGCGGCCGCGGGACGGGCAGGAAAAGAGAGCGAAATTCCCAACTTCAAAGGCTCCTATCTCGGTCGTTTTCCACTCGTTTCGGCTGATTTTTGGACGAGCGATCATCTCTCGGAAAGTTCTCGAAGCGTGGATGCTTTTTTCGGAACGCGCGCGCGCGGACACTCACGTTGAAGCGACGTTGAATCACCCTTTTCCTGCCCAGGCCGCGGGACGCGGGGTCGCGCGGACGTCGCCGATGGCGCTGAGCGCGCCCCCGTCCGTGAGCGCGAGCGGCTCGTAGCGCCACGGCTTCACGACGGCCTGGGCGTTGATCGTGAGGCCCAGCACCATCGACGGGCAATTGCTGGCGAACCGCATCTGCAGCTCGCCGTCCGCGAGAACCGCGCGGCGGTCCAAGGTCCAGCGGTGGCGCGCGACGCCCCGGAAGACCCGCACGATGACGAGCGCGGACACGACCCACTCGTAGACGCGCTGGCCGTAGGCGAGGCCCGCCGCGGCGATGCGGCAGAGCGCCGGGCGCCCGCCGCGCCGCCGCTCGCGGATGCTCAGGCCCACGGACTGGAGCGCGAGGTCGAGAGCCTTCGTGCGGCGCTGGCCGATCATCGCGAAGACGAAGAAGCCCAGCACCAGGATCGCGGCGTCGCCGAGAATCACGTAGCACCAGAACGTGCGCGTGTCGACCTTGAGGGCGTGGAACGTGACGCCATACCAGGGGCGGTTCTTCCAGACGTGCGTGAAGACGTGGGACGTCGCGGTGCGGTAGACCGTCGTGGGCGTGCGCAGCTGGGCCAGGGACAGCGGCGCCCGTTTCTTCGCCGTCGATTCCGTCGTCATGTGGGATCGGCTAGAGGCGCAAAGCGGGCAGCCATCGAGTCTTCGGGCACGGCACCATCGATAAAGCGAAAACCTGAGCTTTGGCGCCCAAGCCCGAGCTGAGGCGAGATCGACGCGTCCGCGACGCACGACACGCAGGCATGGTGGACGCCGCGCGCCTGCGGCTGCTCTTCGCCGCCGCGGCGGCGCTGACGGTGCTCGCCGTCGTCGGCGCCGCGCCGGACGGCGCCGCCTGGCTCCCGCACGCCTACCGGCGCCTGCAGGACGCCGCCGCGCCGCTCTTCACGATCGACCCCGTCACGGGCCACAAGGCCTTCGCGCCCAACGACCGGAGCGACTACCTCGGCGTCGGGGCGGCGATCGTGGGCCTCATGATCGCCGCCGGCGGCGGCATCGGCGGGGGCGGCATGCTCGTGCCCATCTACGTGCTCGTGCTCGGCTTCAAACCCAAATTCGCGATCCCGCTCTCGAACATGACGGTGCTCGGCGGGGCCATCACGAACGTCGGCATGAACGCGCGGAAGCGCCACCCGCTGGCGAACCGGAGCCTCGTGGACTGGGATCTGCTCATCCTCATGGAGCCTTTGACGCTCGCGGGCGCGCTCGTGGGAGGCTTCGTCAACAAGCTCGCGCCGGAGATCGTCATCACGGTGCTCCTCGTCGTCTTGTTGTACGCGACGTCGGAGCGCACGCTGAAAAAGGGCATGAAGCTCTACGACAAGGAGACGGCGGCCATGGAGGCGTCCGCGGGCGCGAAGGAGATGGCCGAGATCACGGAGGCGGAGCGCGCCGAGGCCGCCAAGGCCGAGGCCGCGGGCCTCCTCGACGACGCCGAGGCCGGAAACGACGGCGGCGTCGGCGACGCGCCGCCCAAGGCCGACGCGACGAAGACGCCGGAGCTGCTGGCCATCGAGGCCGAGGAGACGGAGTCGTTCCCCGCGTGGAAGGTCGGCGTGCTCCTGGGCATGTTCGCGCTGACCGTGTCCATGAACCTGGCCAAGGGCGGCGGCGCCTTCCCGTCGCCCTTCGGCATCGAGTGCGGCACGTCGTCCTACTGGGCCGTGACCTTCTTCATGTTCGCGGCGCTCATCGTCGTCGCCAGGGCAGCACAAGAGAGCGAAATTCCCAACTTCAAAGGCTCATATCTCGGCCGTTTTCCACTCGTTTTGGCTGATTTTTGGACGAGCGATCAACTCTCGGAACGGTCTCGAAGCGTGGATGCTTTTTCCGGAACGCGCGCGCGCGGAACACTCACGTTGAAGCGACGTTGAATCACCCTTTTGCTGCCCAGGTCATCGCTTTATGGGTCCGGTCGTACCTCGTCGAGCGCACGAAGCAGAAGGACGCCTGCGGCTACGCCTACGTCGACGGCGACTTCCACTGGGACGAGACGACGACGCTCAAGTACCCGTCGATCTGCTTCTTCGCGGGCGTGTGCGCGGGGCTCTTCGGCATCGGCGGCGGCATCGTCAACGGGCCCCTGATGCTCGAGCTCGGCGTGCTGCCGCCCGTCGCCGGCGCGACGACGGCCTGCATGATCCTCCTCACGTCGACGACGGCGGCGACGACGTTCCTGACCTTTGGCCTCGTGCAGTTCGACTACGCGAAGCGGCTCTTCGTCGTCGGCGCCCTCGCGACGGCCGTCGGCCAGCTCGGCATGGGCCACCTCATCAAGAAGACGGGCCGCTCGTCCTACGTCGCCTTCTCCATCGGCGCCGTCGTCTCCCTCTCCACGGTCCTCATGGGCTTCCACGGCGTCGTGTCCCTCGCGTACCCGGACCCGACGGAGGCCGGCAACACCGGCGGCATCTGCGGCTCCGGCTAGGGGGGGCGGCCGGCCCCCGATTTTTCTTTCTTCTTCCCGCCCCGCCGTTCGGGCGGTACCGCTTAAGCTTCCCGGCACCTAGAGGTAGGGCCCGATGACGGCCCTGATGACGTCCCGGACGTCGGCGCGGCTCCGCGTGTCGACCGGGACGCGGCCGCGGAGCAGCGCGGCGACGACCAGCGCGGCCTTGCGCTTGGCGGGCAGGGTCGCATTGGACACAATCCAATGGTTGTTGACGATCACGCGGCCGCGCCGCGCGAGCGCGACGAGCGTCTCGAGGCCGGCGGCCACCGCGATCGCGACCGCGTTTGCGTGGTTGTCGTGCACGAGATTGCCCAGCGCCGCCGCGGCCCACAGTTTAGCATCCGCGCTGCCGTCGCGAAGGAGCTCGACGAGCAGCGGGATGCCGCCGGCCTCGGCGATCAGGACACGGTTGTCGGCGTTTTTGTACGCGATGTCGCTCAGCGCCGCCGCGGCCCACGGCTTCGCGCCTGCGCTTCCGTCGCGCAGGAGCTCGAGGAGCGGCGGGATGCCACCGGCCTCGGCGAACAGGACCCTGTTGGCGGCGTTGCGCTGCACGAGGGGGTGTAACGATCGCGCCGCCGCAAACTTCGCTGCGTCGTCGCCCTCGCGCAAGGCGCGGACCAGCCCCTCGATCTCCGCCATGCTTGACCCCTTGATAATAACGCCGACGTTGACGCATTCAACAACCATGTTGACACTGGGTGGCGCAGAGCAATGGTGCCACGCTGGCAGAGCTCGATAGCATCGATGCTCTGGTTATTGGCAGCGCTCTGCGCTCGCGGTGACGCGTTCTTGCAGCGCAATGCGTTCGCAGCTAAGCGCGTCTTCCAGCGCGCTAGTCCGCAGTCGGCCGTCTCATCCCCGGTGCTTTCTCCCTCGGCCGGCGCCGCGCGCTGGGACTCGGCCTGCGTGGCCAATCCCGTCGTCCTGCCGCCGATCAACGGCGAACCGTGGAAGATGTTCTACTACGGCAACGACGGCAACTGGTCCGACGGCTCCGTGGGCTTCCTGCCGACGGGCACGTCGGGCCTCGCGGAGTCGGCCGACGGCGTCGCCTGGACCAAGGTCGACGGGCCCAACGCCGACGCGTCCGTCTTCGCGCCGAGCGACGACGTCGAGGCCTGGGACGGCCTGCACACGGGCGTCGGCGACGTCGTGCGCCACGGCGACGACCTGCTCATGTTCTACCTCGGCGCGGGGGGCGCCGCGGACGCGCTCGGCGGCAAGAGCTACCGCGGCGTCAAAATGCAAATCGGCCGCGCGGTGTCCGTCGACGGCGGCGTGACCTGGGAGCGGCGCGGCTCCGGCGCCGACGGCGCCGGGCCCGTGCTCGAGGCTGATATCGACGAAGGTCTGTTCGCGTCGTGGCCGCGTATCCTCCAGTACGAATCCCACTGGCGCATGATGTACCACGCGTTCAACGGCACGAACTGGCGCGCGTTTACGGCCGTCTCCACGGACGCCGGGTTGACGTGGACGGACCGAACGCTCGCGCTCGACACGGGCGCCGAGGGCGCGTTCGACGAGGTCGGCGTCGGCACGCGCGCGGTCGTGAAGCGCGGCGGCGACGACGTGCTCATGGTCTACGAGGGCGTCGAGGCCGGCACAGGCACGCACCGCCTCGGCGCCGCCACGTCTTCCGACGGCGGCGCTTCGTGGACGCGGGCCGCGGGGCCCATCGTCGAGCCCGGCGTCGCGCCGCTCGGCGACTGGACGGCGCAGGTCGTCGGCACGCCCTACCTCGTCGGCATGGACGACGGATCGCTGCGCCTCTATCACTGCGCGAAGACCAAGGAAACGAACATGTCCATCGGAGTCCTCGTGAGCCCGTCGGGCGCCTTCGACGCCGACGCGTGGCGCGGGGTCGACTAGCGGTTCATAAAGAGCACGGAGTCGACTCGCGGTTTTAGAAAGACCACGGAGTCGACTAGCGGATTAGACGGAACGCGACGAAACAGGGGGGGGATGAGGCTCACTGGGCCGTCTTGGCCTCGGCCGGGGACCGGTCGACGACGAGGTCGAAGATGCCGCCGTCGAGGAACCCGTTGCGGTCCGCGGAGCAGAAGAAGGCCTCCTCGGGCGTGTCGGGCTTCTTCGCGCCGTCGAGGTACTGCTGGAAGCCGCCGGCGCAGGAGTAGTTGTCGTCCGCGCCCGCGAGCGCCGCGCGGACGGCCTTCGTGTTGTCCACGGGCTCCGCGTCGAGGCCCGCGAGCCCGGACACGGAGCCCATGGCGATGTCGCCCAGGCCGTCGATGGCGCCCACGAGCCCCTCCGCGGCGGCGTCCCCGAGGTCGCCGACGACGTCGTCGCCCGCGCGCGCGTCCGAGTGCGTCTTCGACGCGCCGACGTACTTGTCCTTGATGCGCCCGATGAGGCTGCGCTGGACCTTGGGGGCCAGCTTCTTCTTCCTGTGCTTGCCCGGCTTCTTCTTCTGGCCCTTGCGCTTGCCCAGGTCCAGGTCCTCGTCGCTCTCCTCGTCGTCGGGCGCGGGCGCGTGCTCGTACTCGGCGGAGCACCGGATGAAGTTCAGCAGGAAGAGGAACACGGGCCAGGCGCAGAGGGCGCTCCGGTAGCGGTCGCCGCAGGTCGACGCGATGATGGCGTTGGCCTCGCGGTCCTTCATGGGGCGGTTCGGCGGGCAGAGGCCGTGCTTGTACTTTGTGGAGACGAACTTGAGGAGCGGCCGGAGCGTGAGGTCCCGGAGGCCCGTGTTGCACTCCTGCTGGCGCGTGCTGTCGAGGTGGAACTCGATCTGCTTGCCCTTGGCCTGGCACTCGGCGAGGCGGCGGTAGAGGTCGTGGATCTGGGGCAGGAAGCTCTTGTCCATCGCGGGCGTCTCGAACATGCGCGCGGCCTTGCGCGACGCCTCGTCGCCGAGCTTCAGCTGCGCGTACTCCTCCTTGATCTCCTCCGTGGACTCGGCGAAGGCGATGGTCGTGATGCCGATGATCACCGTCGGCAGCATCCAGGCGCCGAAGAAGATGAGCGACACGAAGTAGAGCGCCGCGACCCAGCCGAACGCGCGCGAGTTCTCGCACGGGACCTCGTTGAAGGGGTAGCCGAAGCGGCTGCAGCCGAACATGTTCACGTACATGATGACGTCCCAGCCGTCCATGGTGCACACGGCCCAGACCGCCGCGACGGCCTGCGCGAGGTTCCCGAAGTGGCCCGGGTCGTTCACGCGGAAGAGGAGGATGCCGACGACCGCGTAGACGTAGACCGTCAGCACGAGGACGATGGACGCGTAGAAGACGTTCGACGACGCCTTGAGCAGCGACGACACGGCGACGCTCAGCGCCGGGTAGAAGTTGACGAGCTTCAACAGCCGGCAGAGCCGGAGCATCGCGACGCCGGGCCTGCGCCGCATTCGAATCTTCGACGCGACTTCAATGTGCGCATATGCGACAGTTTTGACGCAAGCTCTTCGGCCGTGCTTCGAGAACTCGACGAGAGCCATCGATTCGTCCAAACATCAGCCGAATCGACGTCGATGTGACCGAGCTCGAGCATTCTGAAGTTTGGTCGGGACCACCCGAACCAGCGGTCGAATTCGGCACGGCGCCGGGCATGCGGTCCTCCGCGTGGGGCACCATGCCCAGCACGGACACGCAGACGATGAGGAAGTCGAAGACGTTCCAGGAGTCGGCGAAGTAGCGGTAGGGCGCCTCGCCGCAGGCCGTGATCTTGATCGCGCACTCGAGGACGAAGACGGACAGCACGGCCGTGTCGATGACGTGCAGGTTGTGCTTCGACACGGGCTCCGACGGCGTCACGGCGAGCGCCTCGATGAGGCCCGCGGCGACGATGGACGTCACGACGAGGACCGGGAAGTAGCGCGACCGGAGCACGCGGCGGCAGAGCGCGACGACGTCGTTGACCTTCTCCTCCATCTGCGTGAGGTCGATGTGCTTGCGCACGCGCGGGATGAGGATCAGGTCCAGCGTGTCCTCGAAGTTCTTCATCTCCGGCCCGTTGAGCACCTGCTCGCAGAGCTCCTCCGTGGACGCGGCGACCTCGACGTCCGCGTAGATGTTCCGGATGTTCTCGTACGTGAGCACCTGGGTCATCGCGAAGGGCCGCCCCGTCGCCGAGGACCGCGAGCTCTCCTCGCCGTCGTTCTTCACCGTGGGCTTCATGTTCACGGGGTTGCTCAGGCCCGCGTCCGCGGCGATGGACGCGCGCTTCCTCCGCTTCTTGAGCGCCGCGTCCGGGTCCTCGGCCGCGGCCGCGGCCGTCGCCGTCGGGTCGAGCACGCTCATGCGCTTCGCCGCCGCGCTCTGGATCGCCTCGAGGCCCGCCGCGGCCGCGGCGCAGTCCGGGTCCTTGGCGGCGGTCTCCTCGAAGTCCTCCTCGTTCTCCGCGTACAGAATGTCGAACATGGCCATGTCGATGGCGGAGATGAAGAGGTTGAGGACCACGAAGGCCGTGAGCATGGTGTAGGAGTAGAAGAAGACGATCGCGTCGAGCTTCCGCGGCGTCGGGTCGTAGCAGTCGTAGTTGTAGAACTCGCCGACGTACGTGCGGAACTCCGTGAGCTCGTCCGCGTCGTAGTAGGGCCAGTCCTCGCCGCCCTTGTCGCAGCCCTTGTAGTTGATCTGGAGCATGTGGCTCCAGTCGCTGCACGTCGACGCGACGAAGAGCGTGAGCATGGCGATGGGGACGGTCCCAAAGTGGGCCGGGTCGTTCTCGCCGAACGACTTGACGCCGATGATCGCGTAGAGGAACATGATGAGGCCCAGGAGCACGATGATGGACACCATGGCCCGGCAGCCGGCGATGATGCCGTAGAGCACGCGCCGCGTCTCCGCGGTCCGGTTTAATAATTTCGCGAGCCGCGCGAGGCGTAAAACCGGCAAAATGGCCTCGCCGCCGCCGCCGCCCATGAGCGCGAAGGACAGGATGACGATGGTCGAATCGAAGGTGTTGATCGTCGACTCGGGCCCCGTCCAGTACCGCAGGGGCCGCGACCCCTCGGCGACGACCTTGACGACCATCTCCGCCGCGAAGACGACCATGGAGCAGTACTTGACGAAGACGACGAAGAACCAGAGCCGGGCGTCGCTCGGCTTGCTCAGGTCCGGCCGCGCGACGAGGTGCATGGTGAAGGCGACGGCGACGAGGCCGATCGTGCCGTTGACGACGACCTCGAAGACCTGGTGCCGCACGAGGTCGACGTGCGACCGGCAGATGGCCCGCCCGCAGGTCGAGAGCCGGAAGGAGTAGCAGCCCTCGGCCCAGGAGACGCCGTAGCCCCGCTCCGTCGGCTCGTCGTACCAGTAGTAGTCCATGTCCGGCACGGCCGCGGCGTCGTCGTCGCCGAAGACGACGCCCGTGTGCGTCTCGATGACCTTGCAGACGTTGGTCCGGATCTCCGCGTTCTGGTAGCTCAGGTTGCTGATGCGCTTCTCCGCCTGGTCGTGGTCGAAGTCCTCGTAGTCCTCGTCGTCGTGGTGCTCGCCCTCCTCCTCCTTCTCGTCCTCCTCTTTCTTCTTCTCCTTCTTCATCTTGAGGAACAGCGTCGTCGACGCCATCGCGCCCGCGTCTCACCGCGCGCGTCGGGGGGGTCGAGGAGCCCGGCGGAGGGGCCGGCGCCTCACGGCATGCGCCGCCGCCGCCGCGCCTGTTCGGTCTGTGCGGGCTGGCTGCCCGCACACCAAAGATGAAACCTTTCATGCAGCGCGGGTACCTTGAGGTCGGCAAGGCAACCATCGAGGGGCAGCCTCGTCCGACGTTCGAACGATGGTGAGCTCGTCGAGATCGACGTCGACGCAGGACCTGCGGCGGAACGTGCTCGACGTGGAGCTCATGCCGGCGACCGCCGCGACCGACGAAAAGGAGCGATTCCTCTACGGCGGCGGCTACCAGAGCGAGGAGCGCGTCGTCGACGACGCGCCGGCGGCTCGCCGGCGCCTGCGGCCCTGGCATCTGGCCGTCTCGGTGCCCTGCTTCTTCGTCCTGGCGGGGGTCTACTTCTCGCGCGGCAGCATCATCGAGGTCGCGAGCAGCGACGACGACGACCGCCGGGCTCGCGCGGCGGCGGCGGCGGCCGAGCAGCGCGCGTCGACGGACGCGACGCCGCTCTCGAGCCTGTCCTTCCCGGGCGCCGCGTCGACCGTCGCGGACGACGACGACGACGACGGCCCGACGCCGCTCTCGAGCCTGTCCTTCCCGGGCGCCGCGGACGACGACGACGACGACGGCCCGACGCCGCTCTCGAGCCTGTCGTTCCCGGGCGCCGCGGACGACGACGACGACGACGGCCCGACGCCGCTCTCGAGCCAGTTGCCGGGCGCGGACGAGGACGACGGTGACGTCGCGACGTGCGGCGGCGACGCGTGGGAGTTCACGCCCGGCGGCTACCGCGAGGCCTGCGGCGGCGCCGCGGGCAACCGCGCGAGCTTTTCCAACGAAACCCTCGACGCGGCGCTCGCGAGCTGCTGCGCCGACTCCCTCTGCGCGGGCTTCTCCTACGACAACGTCACGGGCGACGGCGTCTTCAAGCGGAACCTCGAGTGCGGCGTCGCCGCGTCGGCCGCGCACGACGGCTACGCGAAGGCGTCGCGCGTCCCGAGCGCCCGCGAGGCCGACTGCGGGCCCTTCGAGCACGTCTCGGGCGGCTACCGGGAGGCCTGCGGCGGCTACGACGGCAACCTCGGCGACTTCCAGGGCCTGAGCCTCGCGGAGGCGGAGCGGGCCTGCTGCGACGCGGCGACGTGCGCGGGCATCTCCTTCGACAACGCGACGGGCAACGGCGTCCTGAAGTCGAACGTCGCGTGCGGCGTCGCGACGTCCGACGTCTACGACGGCTACTCCCTGCGGCGGTCCGTGCCGACGCGCACCGTGGCGCGGCCCGCGCGGGGCTTCGGCGGCCCCGCCGGCCGGGGCGGGCCCTAGCACAAAATCGCGCCGGGTCCTAGTTCGTCTTCGCGCCGGACGGGTGGCCCCGCGGCGACGTCACGGGCAGCGCGGGCGCGTCGGGCGGCGCGCGCGGGTCCGGCCGCAGGGCCGTGACGGCCCAGGACACGGAGAGGCCGAAGACGAAGAGGACGGCCGCCGGGAAGACGGCGAGCTCGAAGGGCCCGAGGCGCGCGTAGTCGGCCGGCGCCATGCCGCGGACGTCGCGCGCCATCGTCGCGAGGATGCACGGGAACAGCACCAACCGGAAGACGACGTAGGCCGCCTTGAAGCCGCGCTGCAGCCAGCGCTGGGGCGCCGCGAGCCACGGCCGCGCGCGGACGCCCGGCGCGGAGAGGAGCAGCTCGTCGACGGTCAAAAACACGTTCGTCGCCTCGCAGAGCGCGGCGGCCGCGCCCCAGAAGTGGGACAGCGACCGCGCGACGCCCGCGCCGTAGGCCACGATGACGATGCAGTGGTGCACGACGTACATCGGCCGCAGCTCGACCTCCTCGCGCGACCGCTTCAAAAAGATGTACGGCATGTGCACGACCATGCGCGACACCAGGAGCTTGCCGAGCACGACGGACGTTGAAGTGGTGCCCGTCCAGCGCAGCGTCGCGTCGGCGTAGAGGTCGAACGACGCGTCGAGGGCGAGGACGAAGAGCAAGGGGTAGTACACCAGCCCGAAGATGGCGTCGCCGGCGACGGCGACGCAGGGCGCCTGGCGCAGGCACGTCTTCGCCAGCGCGTAGCAGCATCCGTAGGCGACGGCCATGGCCGCGGCGTAGGTTGGGAGTGGAACAGCAGCGATGGCCGCATCATCAGGGAGCGCTGCGGGCGCCTCCATCGCGTCGCCACTTCGGGGAGTTGCCCTTCAACATGCACTCAGAAAAAAGGAAACCTAGGTCACGACGCAGCCTCGCGGGTCCTCCGGCGCGGCGGCGCCGTCGCGGCGCGCGTCGCCGTCGGCGCGGTCGAAGGCGGCCTGGAGCTGGGTCCGCGCGAGGGCCGCGTTCCGCGCGGCGGGCGACTTCGGGAACCGCGCGGCGACCTGGGCAGGAAAGGAGTGATTCAAGTTCGCTTCAACATGAGTGTTCCGCGCGCACGCGTTCCGGATAAAGCATCCATGCTTCGAGACCGTTCCGAGAGATGATCGCTCGTCCAAAAATCAGCCGAAACGAGCGGAAAACGGCCGAGAGAGGAGCCTTTGAAGTTGGGAATTTCGCTCTCTTGTCCTGCCCTGGCGGCGACCTCGTCCAACAGAGCCGCCGCGTCCGCGTGCTTCACCGCCGCCGCCAGGCGCACGGTGGCGCCGTCCTCGCGCAGGCCGTCGAGGGGCGCGAGGGCGCCCAGCGCCCAGGCGCCGGCCGCGTGCGCCGCGCGGACGTCGCCGTCGTCGCCGGCGAGCCCGAACAGCGCCGACACCAGCAGGTGGCAGCCGCCGCCGTCCGCGATGGCGCCCGCGGCCGCCTTGTCGCGGTGGGCGATGTTCACGAGGGAGAGGGCCGCGAGGCCCACGAGCCGCGGGCAGCGCGCGTGGCGCGACAGCGCCGACAGCACCGCGTGGCACGCGCGCGGCGCCGAGAGCCGCGTGACGTCGCGCTCCAACAATTTCGCCTAGAGATGCAAACAACTGGCCGTTTGTCCCGCTAAAAACAGGAGACGCCGCGCCGCGACGTGGCCGAGGACGCCGAGGCCCGCGACCTGGGAGGCCTCGTCCGGCGCCGCGTGCTGGAGCGTGTCGAGGAGCGCGGCGAGCCCGCCGAGCGCGGCGAAGCGCTCGACGAAGACGGCCCCCTCGGGCCCGCCCGTCGCCGCCGCGACGGCCTCGAGCGTCGACCGCCGGTGCGCCGCCGCGCCGCCCTGGGTCGGGGCCAGGTTGACCTGGCGCAGGGCGCCGAGGACGACCGCGGACACGGCCGCGGCCTCCGCCGTCGCCTCGCCGTCGGGCCGCGGCCGCGCGCGCCGCCTCGCCTGCCCGCGGTAGTGGGCCGCGAGCCGCGCGCAGCCGAGCTCGAGGGCCGCGGCGTCGTCGGCGTAGGTCGCCATGGCCGCCGCGAGCGCCGCCGGCGGGCTGACCGGGTCGCGCGACGCGCGGTCGAGCGCGAGGCGCACGGCGGCCGCCGCGGGCCGCGCGGCGCCGGCGGTCTCGTCGTCGCTGTCGTCGCTGGAGATGGACGCGTCGAGGGCGTCGCCGGCGTCGAGGGGCGCGTCGGGCTCGTCCTCCGACGCCGACGACTCCGACTCGGAAGACGACTCGCCGCCGGAAGCCCTAACGAGCGCCGCGCCGCTCTCGCCGGAGTCCCGCAGCTCCCCGAGGACCTCGGCGACGGCCTCGGCGAGGCGCGCCGCCGCCGGCTCGTCGCTGGGCTCGCAGAGCCGCCCGAGGAAGATGCGGAAGAGCTTGAGCTGGAAGAGGCAGCCCTCGACGCTGCCCCGGGCCGTCGCCGGGTCGAGCCCCGCCAGGACGTCGGCGGGCGCGCGCGCGTCGAGCTGCGACGCGACGCGCCAGGAGTCGCGCAGCACGGCGTCGGGCACGACCTGGACGGGCGGACTGAGGAGCAGCGTCTCCGCCGTGCGGAGGGTGGTGGCAAGGTGGGCGTCCATCTTCCTGGCCTCGGAGGTCAACATGCCGATGATGCCTCATGACAGAGGCCCAGTTTCCTGAGTTTCGATAGCATAGACGCGGCCTTTGCGCTGCCGCCGCACGCCGACCTACCCGCGCGGCGCCGCGCGGGCACCGCCCATTAACCATGGGCGCCTCGGCGGAAGCGGAGCCGCTCCTCGCGACGCCGTTCCTGGGCGTCGACGACGTCGCGCGGTTGCGCCACGTGCTGCTCGCCTTCTCCATGATCCTGTCCTTTTGCCTCGCCCTCTTCTTCAGCATCCGCACGGAGTACACGGAGCACTGCCTCCACAGCAGCGAGGCGGCGACGACGGGCACGCTCGCCGTCATCGCCTACTACCTGTGCCACGCGGTGTCGAACCCGATCCTGGGCAAGCTCAGCGACTCCGTCGGCCGCAAGCCGCTGCTCCTCGCGGGCATCGCGGCCATCGTGGCGGTCTTCGGCTTGTTCGCCGTGATCAGCGACCCCCTGACGTTCATCCTGTTATTCGCCGCGCTGGGGGTCGTCGACAGCTCGAACGTCATGTACCATTTGATGATCGTCGACACGGCGTCCGTGGACCTCCGGGCGGGCGGCGGCTTGTTCGCCTTCTTCGCGTCGCGGGCCCAGGTCGACGGGGTGCTGGCGGCGCCGCCCAAGGGGGGTGCGGAGGTCGACGAGCCCATCCAGCAGCGGCGGGTCGCCGTGCTCTTCAGCGCGATCTACGTCGCTTCTTTGCTCGCGGCGGGCCTGGGCTTCGGCGCCGCGGTCCTGCTGGAGGGCGGCATCGGCGTGCGCGGCACGGTGGCCGTCGCCGCGGCGTCGATCCTGCCCCTCTTCTTCTTCGTCGCCTACGCGCTGCCGGAGACGGCGCGGTTGGCGGAACCGAGCGGCGCGGACTCGTGCTCCGGCGCCGTCTCGGCGGTGCTCGCGGAGCAGGCCGCGGGGCTCGCGCTGCTGACGGAGACGCCGCGGCGGCGCCTCTTGCTCTTCGCGACCTTCTGCCAGCACGGCGCGGCCGCGGGCGCGTCCGCGCTGATGATCTACTGGGCGGTCTACAAGTTCGGGTTCGGAATGCCCGCGCAGACGGCCGTGCTCCTCGTGGGCCTGTGGGCCATCGGTCTCGGCGTGGCGCTCCTCCAGGGCGTGTTTATTCCCGTGTTCGGGCTCGACGGGCCCCGCGCGTGCGTCGCGGTCATCGGCGTTTCCGCGTGCTGCGCGGCGTTTCTGGCGCTCGCCTTCGAGCCCTGGATGGTCTTCGTCGGCGTCATGTCCGTGCTCGGCGCGGCCATCAACCCGGAGGTGCGGTCCCAGATCACGGCGGACGTGGCGCTCGCGGACCAGGGCTTCGTCCAGGGGGCCATCCAGACCGTGAACTCCGTCGGCGACTCGTTCGGCGCGTTCGTGCTCCTCGTGACCTTCGAGGACACGACGGACGACGACGCCGCCCACGACACGCACCGGGGGCGCCACTCCATCCGCGCGAACCTCATCTGGCACGTCATCCTCGGCCTGAACTTCTGCGCCGTCTGCGCGCTGCTCCTCGTCAAGGAGACCCCGCCGCGGCCCCAGACCGCGCGACCCATGTTGTAACTGTCTCGTCATCGGACTCATCGCGCGGCGCCATGTGCCCGCCGATACTCTTTCGTGAAAACGGCCGAGTGTTATCGGACCTCGGTGGACACGTCGTCGGCGTTCGTCGCGGCCTCGCGGTCGATGGCCAGGGGTCCGACGTCCAACACCGTGCCCGCGTCCCCCGTCCGCCGGTTCCCGAAGCTCAGGCTCTTGAACTGGTCCGTGGCCCCGGGCAGCATGAAGAGCAGCTCGAGGTCCACGGAACTGTCGCACTGCGCCTGCACGGAGAAGTCGCCGTCGTCGTTAGCCTTGGCCGAGACGATGCCCGCGTAGTCGACGCCCACGGAGCGGACGACCATCTTCTGGTTCGCGAGGAGGTCCTTGACGTCGTCCATGAAATACAAGTTGCCCGTGATGAGCACGGCCTTGTACGGACTATCGCAGTTGAAGAAGCCGCTACTCCGCACCTTCAGGCCGATCGACGCGGTCCGCGGGTCCTTGGCGAAGGCCTTGAGGAACGCCGACACGGACAGCGAGCCGCGCGCGTTGTCGTAGTCCATTTTGGGCGTGCACTTGCCCTTCTTCTTGAGCCCCCCCGCCTTCGCCTTCGCCGGCTTCGCCTCCTTCTTCGCGCGCTTCTTCACCTCGCCGTCGACGTCCAGGTCCACGTCGTCCTCCAGCTCCGTCCACGTGCCCGTGTCCTCGTCCAGCTGATACGCCTTAGGCATTTCTTCCAGCTTTGCCGCCGCGGCCTCCGAGACGGTCTTCCGGAGCGTGACGTCGGCGCCCGCCGGGCATTTCAGTTTCTTCGACGGGTCGTCGGCGTCGCTCAGGTCCACGAAGCAGGCGCCCCAGCTCTGGATGGGAGCGCCGGAGCCTACCGAGGGTGACAGGGTCGGATTTCTTCCCGGCGAGATTCGCGCGAAAAAACACTCGCGTCGCTCGACGCCGGCCGGAGCCGTCGACGAAGCTCCCCGGCATCGCGCCGAGCGCGGCGGCATCGCCGGCGTCGATGACCGCAAAGGCCACGGCGGCGACGCCGTCGAAGGCCCCCCCTTCAACGTCGACGAGGGACGCCGCGGGGATCGCGAGCGTCGAGCCCGAGGCCGCGTGCTCGACGGAGCCGCCGGCCTTGGCGTCGACCCTGGCCTCGAGGACGGGCAATAATTTCGCGACCTTGGCCTCGACGCCGTCCGCGTCGTCGACGGCGAGGACGCACGTCGCGTAGCCCGGCGCCGTCACGCGCGCGGGGCCCGACCCGTCGACGAAGAAGCGGCCGTCGGCGCCCGTGAGCGCGGCCGCGGCCCCGGCCCGTTCCGCGAGCGCGCCCGCGACGGGCGCGCCCGTCAAGGCATCCACCGCGACGCCGTAGACCCCGGCCACGAGCGGCTTCAGGGCGAAGCCGAGAGTTGTCTTCTCGGGCAGCGCGAGCTTCGCCGTCGCGGGAAAAAAACCGTCGGCGGCGCAGTCGACGGCGCACCAGCCGTGCACCTTCACCGCGGCGTCGAAGCGGCCGTCGGCGTCCGTCGTCGTCTGCGCCTGGAGGCCCTCTTTGGAAACGACGGCGACGCGCGCGCCGGCGACGGCCGCGCCGTCGGCCGCGGACGCCGCCGTGCCGGTCACGACGCTCTCCTCGACGTCGCCCGCGAAGCCGCCGCCGCCGCCGATGTTCAGGTCGCAGGCCACGGCGAGCAGACCGCTGCGCACGCCGCTGAGGAGCGTGGCGTCGACTTCTTCGGGCAGCGGCAGCCGCGCCATGTAGGCTTCGTCGACGCCGCGGCTCGCGGCGTAGCTCAGGACGCGCTCCTTTGCAACGGCCTCGCCGGAGATCTGCTGCTCGCCCCAGAGATCGTCGGCGAGCTCCTGGAGGGCGTCCACATCGTCCGCGGCGGGGACCTCGTACTTGGAGACGGACGACGAGGCGCCCATCGGCGCTGCCCCACGTCAATGAATAACTTGAACATTCAACAATCCAGCTCGCGCGCTCGAGCGGGCGCCCTCGGTTCGAACGAGCCGCGCCGTCAAGACGTCGCCTTCACCGCTCCTCCGCGCGCTCCTGTGCCTCGCTCTCGCCGCAGCCATGCCCGCCAAGCTCTTCGTCAAGAAGCTCAGCGACGCCGCGTCGCTGCCGAAGCGCGGCTCGGAGCTCGCCGCGGGCTGGGATCTGGCCGCGAGCCAGCCCGTCGTCGTGCCCGCGCGCGGCAAGGCCATCGTGCCGACGGACCTGGCCATGGCGACGCCCGGCGACTGCTACGCGCGCATCGCGCCGCGGTCCGGCCTCGCGGTCAAGAAGTTCGTCGACGTCGGCGCGGGCGTCGTCGACGCCGACTACCGCGGCGCCGTCGGCGTCGTGCTCTTCAACCACGGCGACGCGGACTTCGAGGTGAGCCCCGGCGACCGCGTCGCCCAGCTCATCCTCGAGAAGGTCCACCTCGACGCCGAGGTCGAGGAGGTCGCGGAGCTGCCGGCGACGACCCGCGGCGCCGGCGGCTTCGGGTCCACGGGCGTCGCGGGCGACGCGCCCGCGGCCAAGGTCCGCGCCATCTCGCCGCCCGTGCCGCCGCCGGCGGACCTCCTCGCCAAGTTCGAGGCGCTCCAGGCCTCCCACGAGGCGCTCCTCGCGCGCGTCGCCGCGCTCGAGGCCGCCAAGTGAGGCGCCGCTCGCGCGCGGGTAAAGATGTGCAAGATGATGTGCGCCGCGTGGAAAGATTCGACACCACGCGAGTTGGAGACATGGGACTAGCTCTTAACGGCCCAGGACGCGAGGTGCGTGTCCGGCAGGCGCGTCTCCAATCGGCGGTCGACGACGCCGGCCCCGGTCGCCGCCTTCTCGGCGACGAGCGCGAAGTGGCGGCCCGTCGCCGCGCGGAGCTTCACCTCGGAGAAGCCGACGTTCGCGGCGGCGGCGGCCATGCGGCCGACGCCGTAGTCCGCGTACTCGTCGAGGTACGGCTCCGTGGACCGGATGAGCGAAAAGAGCAGCGGGTTCGCGCGGAGGTCGGCGAAGCCCGGCGTGTCGAAGTCCATGTCGTAGATCCACAGCTGCCCGTCGGGCTTTAAAGCGTCGTGGCAGAGTTGGACGATCCGTTCGTACGCGAACGGCGGCAGCTCGTGGACGACGAGCGAGAGCACGACGACGTCCGCGGATTTGTTCGGTAGAAAGGCCTCCGCGGACGCCCGCTCGAAGGACACCCGCTCGTCCGCCGCGACCTCGTTGACCCACCGCGCGTCCAGCGCCCCGCGCGCGCTCAGGGAGACGAGCTCGCGCGCGACTTGGATCATCTGCGGCGACGCGTCGACGCCGACGATGTCCGCCGCCTCGGGGTAGCGGGCCGCGAGCCGCCGCGTGGACGTGCCCGTGCCGCACCCGATATCATAAACGACGCCGCCGGCCGGCACAGCCGCGCCGAGCTCGTCGAGCGCGGCGTCGAAGGCGCCGCGGAACGCGTCGTCGCCCTCGGCGCCGAACTCGGGGTAGTTGCGCGCGCCGACGGCCTTCGACGCGATCTCCTGCTCCCAGGCGGCCTCGAGGCAGCAGTTGCCGTCGTCGTAGGCGTGGAACGGCCTGAAATAGTAGTCGCCGATGTCGTCGGCTCTCGCGTCGTCGTCCCACGTCGCGGCGTTTTTGATGTAGTCCAGCGCGTCGCTCCAGTCGACGCCGTTGGCCTTTGCCGTGTCGCGCATCGTCTTCTTGGCCTGCGGGACCATGATGCGCCGCCAGAGCTCGCTGCCGACGACGGCGTCCATGACCTGCGCCGCGATGGGCTTCGCCGGTGGCGAGAGAGCGTTAGTGTGAACGGAGAGCGCAAGGAGGACGGTTATTTTGGCCCTCGATGGGCTGGCAAACGCGGCCATCGTCGCACGATCCGCGGTCCTGGACCTTGCACCTGTGATGCCGTGTGAGAGCATGGAGGCTCTCCGTGCGCGTTGCCACGCCTCCCGAGCACCTGCAGCAGCGCCGCCGCCGCGCCGTGGCTACAAGAGCTCTGGGCCGCAATGAGCGCGAACGCCTGGCTCGCGGAGCTCAACGCCGCGCGCCAAGCGCGGCAGCCAGCCGTGCGCCACACGCACATATTACACAACGGCCGCGAGCTCGTCATCATCCAGAAGCACGGCGCGCACCTCGGTAGCAGCCTCTGGCACGCCGCGCTGCCGCTGGCGCACTACCTGCACGCGTCGGGCCTCTGGCGGCGGCGAAGCGGAAGGCGCGTGCTCGAGCTCGGCGCCGGCTGCGGCGCGGCGGGGCTCGCGGCCGCGCTCGGCGCCGACCCCGCGGACGCGGCCGCGCTCGTGGTGCTCACGGAGAAGCCCGAGCTCGTGCCGCACCTGCGCGCCAACGCGGACGCCAACGCGGCGGCGCTCGACGACCGAGCCGTGCGTGTGCTGCCCCTCGACTGGGTCGCCGCGTCGGCCGAGGACTGGGACCGCCTGCTCGCGGCCGGCCAATTCGACCTCGTCGTCGCTGCGGACTGCGTCTACGAGCTGCCATTGCTCAAAGCCCTCGCCGATGCCGCCGCCAGGGCTCTGGCGCCGGACGGCGTCTTCGTATGCGGCTTCTGTCGCCGCGGCGGCGCGCTCTGCCCGCCGTCTGCCGTCGAGCCCGTCCTCCTCGAGCGCTTCGACATCGCCGAGCGGGCGACCCTCGCGCTCGGCGGTCCGGCGACGCCGGCCGCGGGCTCGGACACGTCGGCCATGACCGTGCTGCAGCTCACACTAAGACGCTAGTTTCCCGTGCTTCAGCTGAGACTTAGACGCAAGTCTCCGGATCGCTCCAGCCGCCGGTAAGACGCGCGTTAGCTCAGCCGCGCGATGCGCCGCCGCACGAAGGGCGCGACGACGCGCGCGGCCCGTCGCTTCACCGCCGCCCGGAGCCGCTGCGCCCGGCCCGGCCGCGGCGCGTCGTCGCCGAGGCCCAGCGCGTCCGACGCGATGGGCGCCCACCGCGACGCCAGGCTCCAGGTCACGCCGAGCTTCGCCGCGAGGCCCTTGATGAGCACCGAGGACCGCGCGACGAGCACGAGGTCCTGGGGGAAGGACGTGAGCGCCGTCGCCGGCGAGTTCGGCGAGAGCTCGTTCTGCTCGTAGCCGCCCGGGAGCGTCTCGCCCGCGTCGTCGAAGAGCCACATGGACACGGCCGCGGGGCCCTCGGGCGGCGCGTCCGGGTTCAGCACGACGCCGAGCTCGCGGCCGAGGTCCGCGCACTGGAGGAGCTCCTCCGGCGTGCCGCTCGGGAAGTCGTCGCTTTTGGTGCGCGTCGCCAGCGCGACCATGACCTTGCCGAGCGTCGCGCGGTTCTTGCCCGAGATCTGCTTGACCTGGCCGAAGTCGATGAGCCCGACGCGGCCGTCCTCGAGGAGGAGCAGGTTGCCCGGGTGGGGGTCCGCGTGGAAGAAGCCCGTGCCGAAGATGCACTTTCCGAAGGCCTCCGTCAAAGCCTCCAACAACGCGACGCCGGACGCCCGGAGCACGGGGTCCTTCGAGAAGTCCTCGACGCGCGCGGCGACGCGGCTCAGCGGCTCGCCGTCGAGGAAGTCCATGACGAGCACGTTCTTCGTGCACAGCGCGGCGACGGGCCGCGGCACGACGAGCGGCGGCGGCCGGCCGTCCGCGTTCAGCGTCGCGTAGACGCGATCCATCGCCGCGGCCTCGGCGACGAAGTCGAACTCGTCCTTGAGTTGGGACTCGAGTTCGGTGAAGACGACGTAGTAGTCCACGGGCGTGACGTCTCGGAGCGGCTTCGAGAGCTTCTTCAGCTCGTTGACGTCCCCCAGGAGCGTCTCCTCGACGCGCGGCCGCTGCACCTTCACGGCGACGTCCCTGCCGCCGTACTTGGCCGTCAGCGTCGCCCGGTGCGCCTGCGCGACGGACGCCGCCCCCAGCGGCGCGTCGTCCCAGCTCTCGAAGACGTCGTCCCAGGCTTCGCCGGGCCGCAGGACCTCCGCCGCGACGATGCCGCGCACGTACGCGCCGTCCATCGGGTCCACGAGATCCGTCAGGCCCGCGAGCGCGTCCGAGTACTGGCGCGGGAAGAGGTCCGACCGGGAAGCGATGATCTGGCCCGTCTTGACGTAGAAGCCGCCGAGCTCGTCGACGACCTTCCGAGCTTGCTCCGCGCCGCTCGCGTGCGCGTCGGCCCAGACGACCTCGCACTCGTCGTCGCTGAGGCACTCGCCGAGCACGCGCTCGCGGAGCTGCATGGCCACGGGGCCCGCCACGTACTTGCCGACGATGGGCACGGCGCGCTGCCAGAACTTGGCCGCGCGCGCGAGCTTGTTGGTGGGCTTCTCCGTGGGCGCGGTGCTTGTGGACGCAGCGGCGCGCGTCGTGAGCGGCGTTCTGTAATTGCTCGCGCGCGTCGTCCGAGCGAGTCGCAACGAAGTTGTTGGAGTTCTGTAATTGCTCGTCGTCGACAGCGCCGCGGCGGCGGCCACCGCCCCGAGGATGCGCCACGGAAGCGGCGCCATTGCCAGCGCGTGAGTGGCGCGGCACCAGCTCGTCACGATGTTGCACTCTGTTGCACGCGATGTTTGTGGCAATTTGCTCTTGGTAGGAACCGAGCGCGCCATGGACGCGCGCTGGGACGCGCTCGTCGCCCTGGAAAACCAGGCGACGGCCATCCGCACACAGCTGGACCTGCGCGAGCAGGATGCCGACGCCTCCGCCGCCGAGATCGACGCCCTGAGGGACGCCGAGGAGCGCACGAACGCGCAGATCGCCGCCGCCGCGGAGGCCATCGAGGCCGCGCGCCGCGCCGCGCCGCCGATGGCCGGCTTCGTGCGCGCGGCGCCCGCGCCGGACGACGACGCGAGCGACGGCGAGGGCGACGACGACGGCGGCGGCGCGCCGCGCGCGGCCGGCGGCGGCGACGTCGCGGCCATGTACCGCGACCTCGTGGGCGCGCCCCCGGAGAAGCCGCCGATACCGACCGTGTCGCGCGACGTCGTCTGCGACGTCTGCGGCGTGACCTACGACCGCGCGCAACAGGCGCGGCACGAGTCGTCCGTCGCGCATACCTTGTCGCTGAAGTTCCGCCCCCGGACGCGGCGCGTCGCGCTGCCCGACGGCAACGTGGGCGCGCAATTATTGGACCGCATGGGCTGGCGCGACGACGGCGAGCGGCCGGGCCTCGGCGCCGCGGGCCGCGAGGGCCGCGTGCAGCCGCTGCCCGTGGCCCTGAAGAGGGACACCACGGGCCTCGGCGCGAAGGCCTACGAGAAGCGCGTGTCCCACTTCCGCGCGCGCGACAAGGCGGCGACGGCGCATCCGAGAGCGGCGCGACCGCGACCGCCGCCGGCGCCGGCGAAGACGCAGGGCGTCAAGCGCAAGGAGGCGCGCCGCGCGGAGGCCGCGACGAAGCGGCGCGACGCGAACCTGCGCCGGGACCTGGGCGACCGCGACATCCCCGAGGGGTACGAGGCCCTGTTTCGATAACCTCAGTTCGCTCGTTTAATGGAGCTGATGCGCGTGAGCTTCGGGTAGACCTCGTCGAGGTACGCGTTCCCGTAGTAGATCGCCTTGCCCTGGTTGACGCTGCCGCCGAGGCCGCCGGTCAAGCTCTCCACGAGACCGTAGCCCGCGTAGGCCTACCAAGCATGACGGTGGCGATTTCTCATTGTTTTCCCACCCCGAATCTCTCGAAACTCGTCACGGCCACACAGGACGCTGGCGTAGGCCTTGTCGACGAGGTCCATGCCCCGCGTGACGCGCGCGAAGGGCACGAAGCCCTGCGCGTCGAGCATGTTTGGCAGGCCGCCGTTGTCGCCGAGGTTGACGTAGATCTGCGTCGTCCTCGTGTTCTTGCCGCCGCTCGCGAAGGAGAGCGTGCCCCGGGCGTTCGTCGTCGTGCGCGGCTCGTCGAGGAGCCGCTTCTCCTTGGGCAGAAGCCACTCCTTGTTGACCGCGGGCTCGCCGGCGATGCCGAACTGCGCGACGTAGCCCGGGAGCACGCGGAAGAGCCGGCTGTCGTCGAAGAATCGGGCGTCGACGAGCTCGCGGAAGCGTTCGCTCGCGAGCGGCGCCCAGTCGGGCCGCACCTCGACCTCGACGTCGCCGAGCCCCTCGAGCGCTATGGAGGCTGTGAAGGGCTCCGGCGCCGCCGCGACGGCGAGGGTCGGCGCGACCGGCAGCAGCGCGGCGCCGAGCACGCGCCGTCGGTCGATTTGCTGCAAACCGCTGGTTGCAACAGCGAGGAGCAGCACGGCTTTTGCCATGCTCTGCGAGAGCTGCATCAGCAGTGCTCGAACTCACTGCGAGCAGCTCGGCCTTCACTGCGAGAGCTGCAATGCCATAATGCCGGACCTCAGTTGCACCTCAACCACCACCTTGAAGCACCAGACGATGGTGCAAATCCCGATGCTGCCCCCGTGAGAGCATGCTGGTCGCGTGGCTCGCGGTCGCCGCCTGCGCCGCGGCGTCGCCGCTGCGCGTGTCGACGTTCCAGGCCCTCGAGGCCGCGGCGTCGCGGCACGGGGACGTCGAGGTCTTCGTCGCCGCCTCGCCCCTGCGCTGCGACCGCGAGATCGCCATCGTGGGCAACGTGACCGTCTCTAGCGCGAACGGCACGTTGGACGGCGGGAACGCGACGCGCTTTTTCCGCGTGGCCGCCGGCGCGTCGCTCCTCGTCAAGGACACGGGCCTCCGGAACGGCTTCGCGGCGTCCGGCGGCGGCGGCCAGGGCAGGAAAAGGGTGATTCAACGTCGCTTCAAAGTGAGTGTTCCGCGCGCGTGCGTTTCGGAAACAGCACCCACGCTTCGAGAGCGCTCCGAGAGATGATCGCTCGTCCAAAAATCAGCCGAAACGAGCGGAAAACGACCGAGATAGGAGCCTTTGAAGTTGGGAATTTCGCACCCTTTTCCTGCCCAGGCGGCGGCGCCGTGGCCTGCGACGGGGGCGTCGTCGCCTTCGAGGGCCCGTTCGCGCGCCACGCGAACAACGTCGCCGGCATCGCCGCGGACGAGGAGTCGGGCGGCGGCGGCTTCCTCATGGCGCGGCGGTGCGACGCGTACCTGCTCTCGGGCGCGTTCGAGGGCGGCCGCGTCGAGAGCAAGCACGCGGTCAGCGGCGGCGGCGGGGGCGTGCTGCACCTCGTCGGGAGCCGGGCCCTGATCCTCGGCGGCGAGTATCGCCGGAACTCGGCGTCGCTGTCCGGCGGCGTCTTCTTCGTCGCCGGCCGCGAGGACTGGATCGCGGTCCTGACCGTCGAGGGCGGCGTCTTCGAGGACAACCACGCCATGTGGGGCGGCGTCGGCGCGGTGACGCTCGGCGGGGCCGTCATCGTGCACGGGGGCCACTTCGCGAACAACTCGTGCCAGAGCTCGGGCGGCGCGTTCCACTCGGGCGTCATGGGCAGCCCGTTCCTCAACGGCGGCGTCTACCTGTGTGCAAATCAAATCTTCAACCCGACTTCAATGTGCGCGTATTTGAATGTTTTGACACAAGCTCTTCGGCTGGGCTTCGAGAACTCGACGAGAGCGATCGATCCGTCCAAAAATCAGCCGAATCGACTTCGATGTGACCGAGCTAGAGAATTCTGAAGTTTGGTCAGGACCACCCAAACCAGTGGTTGGTTTCCACACAGGCGTCTACGAGGGCAACTACAACTCGCTCGACTTCTACGACGACGCGCGGGGCACGCCGGGCGGCGTCCCGAGGCCGCGAGCGATGGGGGACGCCTTTCCGTAGGCGCGGGCACCGCGGCGAACGTCGCGCACAACCCGGACAGCTCCTGGACCATGGTGCGGAGCGGCGAGTACCGGGGCCTCGACTCCATCGACGCCGCGCGAGCTCGGCGGCGTCGAATCATGCTCTCGGAAGCGCGCCCCGGAAGAAAACATCCCCCGGTAGGTTCACGGGCGACGGCAACACGCTCTTCGCGGGCGGCGCCTACGGCGTCGGCGGCGGCTGGTGCTTCTTCCTCGAGACGCCGCTCGGCGTGCGCGACTCCATCATCTCGCGGCGCACCGTGCCCGCGACGGCGGTGCTCGACGGGCGGCCGGCCGTCGCGCTCGAGGTCGGGAACGCCTATCTCGACGGGTCGTCCGCGCTCTGCTTCGCCCCGGGCTGCCACGCCATCGCCGTCGACGGCGTCGCCAACTGGACGCTCGGGAGCCGCTACTGGCCGTGGGACGCGCGCGTCGACGGCGACGGCCCCTTCGCGCTCCGCGGCTCGCGGCTCGTCCCGGGCGCGTGCGCGAACGCGACCTGGGCCGTCGACGGCGCGGCCCGCGGCGGCGCGTCGGCGGTCCGCGTCCCCCGGCTCCTCGCCGGCGCCGCCGCGGCGCTCGCGGTGCTGCTCCTCGCGGCGGCGGCCTTCGCGGTCCGCGAGCGGCGGAGGGCGAAGCGGGAGCACGCGTACGAGCTGCCGCTCCTCGTCGAGCCCGAGTCGATCCCGGACGCGTCCCTGGAGAAGCTCGTCATGGTCGCCATCGGCCTCGACGACCAGCTGCGCTGCGTGCTCTGGAGCCGCGGGGCCGCGGCCGCCACGGGTTTGGACGAGGCGCCGGCGACGCTCGGCGAGTTGCCCTTCCAGACGGACCGCGACCGCGCGTCGGCGCTCCGCGAGTGCGCGCGCGTCGTCGAGCGCCGCGGCGAGCCCCGGCCCTTCCCGCTGCGCCTCGCGCGCGGGCCCTACCGCGACCGCGTCGGCCTCGTCGTCCAGTGCGTCCGGAACGGCGCGGGCGGCCACACGGTCCTGGGCTCCGAGGTCGACGGCGGCGTCCGCGAGCCTCTTTGACCGGGAGCATCGAAGATGTACTCGATAGGTCGACGACGCGCTGCTCTCGCTCGCGCACGCGCCGTCGGAGAGCTCGGGCCAGCCGGAGGACGACGGGGCGCGCGACCACCGCCCCGGAGCCCGGCGGCGGTCGCGGTCGCCCTCGCGGTCGCCGCCGCCGCGGGGCATCGCGAAGCTCCTCGAAGCGGGGGCGCCCCTCGACGACGTCGAGGAGGCCGCGTCCTTCTGCTCGGGCGAGGCGCGCGGCGTCCCGCGGATTCGAGCCCGTCCGAGGGATTATGACCGGGGGGTTCCTAGGCGACACGCGCCTCGAGCGCGGCTCCGTCGTCTCCGAGGCCGCGCCGGCCGCGGACCTCGCGGTCTGCCACCCCGACGCCATCGCCTTCGTGAAGATGCACGACGCGGCCATCGTCGCGGGCGTCGCCTTCCACCCGCACCCGGGCCCGCGCCGGCGTCCCGCGGCCGCCGCGACTTTCGACGACACCGCTCCGTAGGTCTCCGCCGCTTCGAGCGGCCGGACTGGGAATTGCTCCGCCGCTCCCCGGACGGCCTGAACGAGGACGCGGGGGATCGCAACGGCCTCCTCGCCGACGACGCCATTCCGCCGCAGCGCCCGGTCCGCGACGGCCTCCTCGACGCGCTCTTCGAGTACCCGGAGCCCGGCGTCTACCTGTGGGCGGCTGTGTGGAAATCAAATCTTCAACTCGAATTCAATGTGAGCGTATTCGACAGTTTCGACGCGAGACTTTTTCCTGTGCTTCGAGAACTCGACGAGAGCGATCGATTTGTCCAAAAATCAGCCGAATCGACTTCGATTTGACCGAGCTAGAGAATTCTCAAGTTTGGTCAGTGGTTGATTTGCACACAGGTGGGCGGCGGCGGACCCCGGCGAGCTCCGGCTCCTGTTGCGGCCGCGCTACGAGGGGCCCCGGGCCTTCGGGCGCACGGCGGGCAACTGGTGGCCCCTCGTGGGCCTGCCCCGGGCCGGCGAGCGCCTGAGCGACGTCGCGTTCCGCTTCCCCGGCGGCGCGGTCGAGTTCGGCGGCGCGGGCGTCTGTGTGGAAACCAAATCTTCAACCCGACTTCAATGTGAGCGTATGCGACAGTTTCGACGCGAGACTTTCTCCTGTGCTTCGAGAACTCGACGAGAGCGATCGATTCGTCCAAAAGTCAGCCGAATCGACTTCGATTTGACCGAGCTAGAGAGCTCTGAAGTTTGGTCAGGACCACCCAAACCAGTGGTTGGTTCCACACAGGCGGGCGTCGCGCTCCGCTGGTGCCTCTACTCGCCCTTCGGCGGACCCGACGACGACCAGGCGGCCTGCGCGCGCCTCGCGCGGCGCGCGCCGCTGCCGCCGGAGCGGCTCTGGTTCGCGGGCTGCTGCCTCCGCGGCTACCCGCTGCCGCCGTGGCTCCCCGACGCGGCGCGCCGCGGCGAGCTCGAGGCCGAGGGGCGCCTCCAGTACACGTCGGACGTCGACGTCGTCGTCAAGGCCACGTCCGTCGACGACGGCGCCTACCTCCGCTCGAAGGCGCGCGTCGCCGCGCTCGCGCGCGCCAGGGCCGACCTCCGCGACCGCCACGCGGCCGTCGGCACCGCGGGCGACCGCCGCGCGGCGCTCGCGGCGCTCGCGGCGGCGCAGGCGGCCTACCACGCGGCCAAGTCGGCGCTCGTGGCGACGGACGCGCTGGCGGTCTACGCGCGCGGCCGCGCGGAGCGGCGGACGCGGCGCGCGCTCGGGCTGCTCGACGAGTCCAAGGCGCGCGCGTACGCGCGGCTGCGGGTGCTGTGGATCGGCGCGCGCGACCCGGCGTCGCGCCTGTCGTGCCTCCCCGAGGACGTCCTGGCGGGGGTGCTGATGGCGCTGCTGTGACATCCTAATTTTGCCATCGACGTTCCGCGCTCGCTTCGCGGCGCTCTCGAAGTTCGCATCGGGCTTGGTAGCTCTCGTGCCTTCGCGTCTACGCGGAGCATAGCGGCAGCCGATGGTGCGGTGTTTACCATGTGAGAGGTGGCCGCTCCTCTCGGTGCATCTTGACGAAGAACATGAAGAATCAGGGTTAGGCTCGGAGCGCAAACTCAAAGCACTGTTTAATCGCGCGCCGCCCCGCGTCTTGCGAGCCGTTTCCCCTACGTCCGACCCGTACGATTGTCGCCCGTCCGTGAGAAGCTCCCCCTGTCACCGGACGGCCTCCTTCGACAAGTCGACGGTGGTTTCGTGTGTTTTTTCGTCGTATTCAATGCATCACGTCGTGCGACTGAATCGACTGAAAATATCACTGTGGAAAAATTGCGGGCGGGGGTCGTGCGCCTCTCACCACCCTCACATGGTGTCCAGGGGTGTGTATGACCTCATCCCCCGCCTGCTACGCCCCCTCTTCTTCATGGATTCGTTCGCGATCCCCGATCGGGTCTCGGGCGAAGGACTCGACGTCGAAAGAATTGCGGGCGGTGGGTCACGTTTCTCCCGACCGGCTCCCCACCGTGTCGGGGGGCGGGGTGAACCCCGTGAGCACCTCGCACGCCTCGATCCCCTCTCGTGGGCGACGCGTCGGCCGCTCGATCGGTCGATCGTTTTCGATCGGGCGGTTTCGCGAGAGCCCGTCGCGAACCACCGCTGCTACCCCGTCACGGGCCCTCGGGTCGACCCCCCACGGTGTCGGGGCGGTGGGGTGAACACCTCGCACGGCTCCCTCTTCTCCCGTGACGCGTCGGTCGATCGCTCGAGAATCGCTCGAAAACCATCGACTCGATCTCGACGCTTCATAGGTTCAAAACACCACCACACACACATCATCAAAATGGTCGCCGCCAAGAAACCCGCCGCCAAGAAGCCCGCCGCCAAGAAGCCCACGGCGAAGAAGCCCGCCGCGAAGAAGCCCGCGGCGAAGAAGCCCGCGGCGAAGAAGCCCGCGGCGAAGAAGCCCGCGGCGAAGAAGCCCGCCGCCAAGAAGCCGGCCGCCAAGAAGCCGGCCGCCAAGAAGCCGGCGGCGAAGAAGCCTGCCGCCAAGAAGCCCGCGGCGAAGAAGCCGGCCAAGAAGTAGACGCGCTCATCGCGCTCAAGACTTCCCGTGCGACGACGCACGACGACCGCCCGCTCTTTCCGAATCCCACGTTCCCCGGCGCGCAAGCAAGCAAGCACATACGAGTACACCCCCAGTACGTAATCCAAATTAGCGCCTGACGAACTTGAACGAGCGAGCGAACGAACGAAAGAAAACAACCTGTTCAGAAGAAACATCAAACCACCTCGAACCTGCCAGCCAGCACGGCGATCCTGCCCAGGATCGCGCCGCAGGTGCGCTTCGCGAGCTCGTCGCCGCCGGGCGCGCCGCGGACCGCCGCCGCGAGCCGCGGGGCCAGCGCCGCGCAGAGCGACCGGCACGCCGCGCCGTCGTGGACGGCGCAGACGAGGAACACGCGCGCGTCCAGGGCCTCCGCCGTCGCCTCGGCCTCCGGCGCGTCCGCGAGGAGCCACGCGGACGCCGCCTCGAGCGCGCGCTTCGCGTCGCGCGCGGACGCGTACCGCGTCGCCACGTCGTCGATGGTCCGGTCCAGCGCGGCGGCGCAGAGCGCGCGCAGCGCCCGCGCCTGGTCCGCGCTCGGCGCGCAGCGGGGGAGCAGCTCCGCGCGGAGCGCCGCGCACGACCGCGAGAGCCGCGCGTGCAGCACCTCCGCCTCCCTCGTGAGCCGCCGGAGCTTGGCCTCCGTGTCCTCGTCCTCCCGCGGCGCCTCGGGCGCCGGCGCCGGCTTCTCGTCGTCGCCGTCGTCGTCCTTGTCCTCCTCTTCCTCGTCGTCGTCGTCGTCGCGCGGCGGCGCGGCCGCGCGCCGCGCGAGGTCCTCGTGCGCCTTCGTGAGCTTCGCGGCGGCCTCCGTCGCGGCCTGCGCGGAAATCTTCAACCCGACTTCAATGTGCGCGTATGCGCCCATTTCGACGCGAGCTCTTCGGCCGTGCTTCGAGAACTCGACGAGAGCACTCGATGCGTCCAAAAATCAGCCGAATCGACGTCGATGTGATCGAGAGAGAGAAGTTTTTGCCGGACGGGGCGTTCCACCGGTTGATTTCCACACGGGTCGCGGCCTGCGCGCAGCGGTGCGTCGCGCGCGCCGCGCGGTCGCAGGCCGACTTGAGGTCGATGGCGGCGATGCTAACGCGGTAGCGCACGAGGTCGTCGCCCGCGCGCGCCGACAGGATCGCGCCGACGGCGGCCATCGCGTCGCCGTCCGCGCCCGCGGCGTCGCGCGCGGCCTCGATGGCCTCGTTGACGGCCTCCGACGCGTCGAGGACGGGCTGGCGCGCGCCCGCGGCGTAGGCCGACGCGTTGACGGCGTCGCGCGCGGACGCGAGCAGGCGGCTCACCGCGGACACGAGCACGTGGTCGTCGCCGCCGCCCGTCGCCTCCTCGAGGCGGCTCCGCGCGAGCGCGTCCAAAGCCGCCTCGGCCTCGTCGTTCTCCGGCGGGCAGACCTCGGCGACGGTCCGCGACCAGAGCATGGCCAGCTGGGCCAGGCGGTTCACCGTCGCCGCCGCGTGCCGCGCGCGCGCCGCGCACGCCTCGACGGTCGTCGCGTGCTCCGACGACGACGACGCGGCGTCGGACGACGAGTCCGTCGCCTTCGGCGACGGCGGGGGCGTCGCGTCCTCGGCGTCCGAGTCCGTCGCTTTTCCTTCCTCGACGTCGTCCTCCTCCCGAACGCGCTCGTCCTTGTCCTCCTTCGCCATGGCCTCGCCTTCCCGCGCCTCGTCCTCCTCCTCGGGCTTCTCCGCCTCGGGCTTCTCCGCCTCGGGCTTCTCCGCCTCGGGCTTCTCCGCCTCCTCCTCTGGCTTCTCCGCTCGCTCCTCCTTCGCCGGGCGCGCGCGCTTGAACTGCTTCGTCGCGCGCGTGTACGCGTCCTTGAGCCGTCGGAACTTGGCCGGGTCGCCGCCCTTGTCCGGGTGGTGCGCCCGCGCCATCTTGTGGTAGGCCTTGCGCAGCTCGCCCTCGGACGTCGGCGGCGCCGCCAGCCCGAGCGCGACGAGGTCCGCGGTCTTGCGATGCGTCTTCAGAGCCCGTTCCAACTCGTCCTTCGTGGCCTTCTTCGCCTCGATGCGCCCCATGAGGTCCTGGAGCGCGTCGCTCTCGCACGCGTCCCGCGCCTCGGCGGGCGCGCCGAGGCGCACGAGCTCGCGCATGACCTCCGCGCGGAGCCGCCACCGCCGCGGCGGCGCCGCGTCCGCGCCGTCCCTCTCGGCCCTCGTGAGCAGGTCGCGGTCGATGGCGCAGTCGCACTGCTCCGCCGTCAGCTTCGCGGCGGCGCCGTCGGCGTCGAGCAGCGCCTCGCGCGCGCACAACGCCGCCGTCTCCGCCGCGACGGCCGCCGCGCCTTTCCGGAGCAGCGTCTCGGACAGCCAGCGATCCGCGGCCGACAGCGCCGCGGCGGGCAGGCCGCTGGCGAGCGCCAGCGCGTCGTGGTCGCCGGCCTCGAAGCTCGCCTCGAGGACGAGGCCGCAGTGGTCGGGGGCGAGGGTGCCCGCGGCCCAGGCCGCGACGGCCGCGCGCGCGGCTTCGGGGAGCCGCGACGGCTTGAGGTCGGAGACGTCGACGCTCGGGAACCGCGGCCGCCCGGCGCCGTCGCCGGCGTGGCGGAGCCGCACGAGGGACGCGACGAGGAGCGCCGCGTGGGGGTCGTCGCTCGACGCGCGCCGGTTCGAGTCCTGCAGCGCGCAGCCCAGGGCCGAGAGCAGGTTGGCGTCGGGGCTGCCGCCCGGTTTGCCGGGGCGCAGCCCGGAGAGGAGCTGCTCGTTCGCACGCTTCGGCGTCGGCGCGGCGCTCCGGCCGTGGTTCTCCTTGGCCGCGAGCCAGGCCTTGGCCGCGGCCATGGTGGAGCAGCGCGGACCCGAGGCGACCAAACCGACGGCGTCGACCGGGGCGACGTGCCTCGGCACTTGCCCGGCTCCATGCACTTCGCTCGCCGGGGGTCCTCGTGGAGCCGATCGCGGCCTCGGGTGTCGTCGGCGGCGCGCGAGTCGCGAGTCGCGGCGCGACAAGATGTCGGCCCTCAGCCCGTCGGCCCACATCGACACGCAGCACGAGGACCACATCCACGACTGCCAGTGGGACTACTACGCGCGGCGCCTCGCGACGGCGAGCAGCGACCGCACGGTCAAGGTCTGGAACGTGGAAGCCGAGAGCCACGCGCTCAGCGCGACGCTGACTGGCCACGACGGCCCCGTCTGGGAGGTGGCCTGGGCGCACCCGCAGTACGGCACGGTGCTGGCGTCCTGCTCCTACGACGGCACGGTGCTCGTCTTCAAGGAGGACGGGCCCGGCCGCTGGTCGGTGGTGCACAAGTTCGCCCCCCAGGCGTCGCAGCCCGTGTCGATAAATTCGATCGAGTTCGCGCCGTCGGCCTTCGGGCAGCTCATCCTCGCCTGCGCGTCGTCCGACGGCCACGTGACCGTGCTGCGCCACGACGCGGCGACGGCGGAGTGGGGCGAGGACCGGTTCCTCGCGAGCCCGCTCGGCACGAACGCCGTGTCCTGGGCGCCCCTGGGCGTCAACGGCTCGACGCGGGACGACGGGTCGCCCATCCTGCGCCTGGCGACGGGCTCCGCCGACTGCCTCGTCAAGGTCTGGTCCGCGAGCGCGCCGGACGAGCACACGGGCGCGGTCCACTGGGACGCGGAGCCCATGGCCGACGGCGGCAAGCTCCACAAGGCCTGGGTCCGCGACGTCGCCTTCTGCCCCTTCTACGGCGTGCCCCAGCCCTGCCTCGCGTCCTGCTCCGAGGACAAGAGCGTCTACGTCTGGTGCCGGGGCGACCTCGAGATGTCGTGGACGCCGAAGAAGGTCGTCGCGCTGGAGCAGCCCTGCTGGCGCGTCAACTGGTCCGTGACGGGCAACATCCTCGCCGTCAGCTCCGGCGACGACGACGTGTCCATGTGGAAGGAGACGATCCAGGGCGAGTGGTTCCAGCTCGGCGAGCCGGAGAAGCTCACGAACGGCGCCGCGGCGCCGCCGAACTGAGCGAGGAGGCGGGGAGGCCCGCGCGGCGACTCCAAGGCCCGTCCCGCGCGCGCGTCCCCGCTACTTAAGGCAGTCCGCGTACGTCGCCCGGAGCTCGGCGACGTCGCCGCGCCGCGCGTCGCCCGCGGCGACCGCGAGGTTCGCGAACGCGGCCTCGAGGGCCGCCGCGAGCTCCTTCTCGAACATGAGCACGTTGAGGGAGAAGCGCGGCGCCCGCGCGACGGCGCGGAACCAGGCGATCGCGTCCGCGACGTCCGCGGCGAGCGCGGCGTCGGCGGCGGCCGCGGGCTCCGGCGGCGGCGCGGCGTCGGCGTCGGCGGGCGGCGCGGCCGGCGCGGCGGCGGTGTCCGGCGGCGGCGGCGGCGCGGCGGCGTCCTTCGTAGGCTCCTTGGCGAAGTCGAGCCAGGGCGCGGCGACGACCTCGAGGACCTCCGTCATGAGCGTCGCGTCGAGCTCCGAGGCGAAGACCTTGCCGAGGACCTCGGGCCCGTGGACCTTGAGGTAGTCGCGGCGCCGCGCCGCCGTGATCTGCTTCGCGCGCGGCGCCTTCGTCTTCGCCGTCGCCATCTTGCGGCAGCGGCGCCAGTCGCGCTCGAACTCCAGCGGCGTCCGCGGCGCCTTGTGCTTGCCCTTGGCGCCGACGCCCTCGGCGAGCGCGAGCGTGCGGTGGCCGCCGTGCACGTCGCCCGCGTTGTTGCCGCCGCGGCCGTCCCGCTTCTTCGTCGCGCGCGCGGCCGCCGTGTGGCCCCAGCCGACGCGGCCCTTGGTCAATTCTTTAAACTCCGTCGACGACACGGGCCGCAGGTTGTCCTCGGCGCAGGCGACGAAGTTCTTGAACTCGTCGTAGGAGCCGGAGACGTGGATCGCCTTCTTCTTCATGTCGTCGACGCGCCGGTAGCGCCGGTCCTCCGTGAGCCCCTCGCAGCACTCGCGCTCGAGCTTCTTGACGTCGAGGTGGCCGTCCTTCGTGAACACGCTGCTGTGCTTCTTCTCGTTGAAGTAGCGGGCCATCGTGTCGACTCCGGGCAGCGCGTCGGGCAGCCCCAGCGGCGAGACGCGACCGGCTCCGTTGCGCGCTCGATGTGCGACTCTCTCTCTCTTTTGCGGCAAAATCGTATGGGCTGCTGATCTAGCCTCCCAACAGCAACCTTGCGAGTCACTGTTCCAGCAGTCGCGACACATTACAGCTTTGACGACCAAGCTGATCAGTAGCTGCGACCGCACCCACGCCAAACAGACACCGCTCCCCATGCGCCTCCTGCTCCTCGCCGCGCTGTCCACGACCGCGCGCACCATCGATCTCAACTGGATCCCCGCGGACGGCGCGGGCCCGCTGCCGCTGTCGGCGGCCTACCGCGCCCAGCTCGGGAGGCTCTGCGACCTCATCGAGTCCGGCGCCGCGCTGCCGCCGTCGATCGTCGAGCGCCTGGCCGACATCGAGGTCTTCTGCGCGAAGCTCCGCAAGTCCGAGCGCTCGCTCGCGCCCCGCGGCCTCCTCCGCGGCTTCACGACGGCGGCCTCGCTCGCCGTCGGCGGCGGCTACGCCTGGCACAACTACCAGAACCGCGGCTGGATCTACAAGGTCGTCCGCGACAACCAGCGGCGGCGCCGCGCGTCGATCACCGGCGCCGGCTCGTCGCTCCGCTACGGCCAGTACGCGACGATGACGCCCAAACCCAAATACAAGAAGCCCCACG